AGGTGAGACGATCATCTGAGCCCAGGAAGTCAAGGCTACAGTGAGCTGATGTCACGCTGCTACACTCTAGCCTTGGTGATAGAGCAAGAACCTATCTCAAAATATATACATATAATAACAATAATTGGAGCCAGTACTAAGGAGATATGAATGTTAGACCAATTAATTTTCATTTGGTACTACAGCAGTAGTCATTCATGATTTTTGAGCTGAAGAGCAATTTGCTGAAAGAGCAGAATTTTAGGAAAGTTTAGTGACAGTGATGAAATTGGGAGGGTGGGGGAGTATAAGGAAGAATATAAATAGAGAAGCAGTTTTGTCTGGGCAAGGTGGCTCATGCCTGTAATCCTAGCATTTTGGAAGGCTGAGGTGGGCCAATCAGAAGATCAGGAGTTCAAGACCAGCCTGACCAATATGGTGAAACCCCATCTCTGCTAAAACTACAAGTTAGCCAGGCATGGTGGCAGGTGTCTGTAATCCCAGCTATTCGGGAGGCTGAGGCAGGAGAATCACTTGAACTGTGGAGGTTGCAATAAGCCGAGATTGCACTACTGCACTCCAGCCTGAGTGACAGAGTGAGACTCTGACTCAAAAAAAAAAAAAAAAAAAAAAAAGGCAGTTTTAGTAAGATAGGCATCAAGTGATGAAATTTGGTCTAAGTATATGACAGAAATGACAGGGAGACATTTCAAAGGACAGATAGAAAAATACTGAGTTTCTTGCTATACTGGAGAATTAGGTAATTTAAGTAGTGGTGCTGTTGACAGAAAAAGGATGTTAAGAGTGGCATGGTGGAGAACGATGAGTATTTTCTTTTACACCAGTACGGAAGTCCTCCTGACTGACTTCTGTCTTAATCTGCTCCTTCTCTCAGTCTGTTCTGGTCATCATCCATCTCATAGTTAATCCCACTTTTGCCTTGCAAATAACATTGTTTTACTTTCTTGCCAATCTCTGTCTGGCACCTTTAAAAACCTAGTTTAAGCCTTTGATCATTCATTTACTCTCCACTTGTAGCAGTGTTTTCTTGTAGATGGCAAATAAGTGATTACTGACTTTATATAGATATATTTGTCAGGTATATTACATCTGATCACTAATAGTATTTTAGATTTTTTTTTTTTTATACAAAGTCTCGCTCTATTGCCCAAGCTGGAGTGCTGTGGCATGATCTCGGCTCACTGCAACATCTGCCTCCTGGGTTCAAGCAATTCTCCTCCGTCAGCCTCCTGAGTAGCTGGGATTATAGGCACATGCCACCATGACTGGCTAATTTTTATATTTTCAGTAGAAACAGGGTTTCATCATGTTGGCCAGGCTGGTCTCTAACTCCTGACCTCAGGGAGACCCACTCAGCATTTTTTTTTTTTTTTTTAAATTTAAATGAAGTCTTACTGGGTCACCCAGGCTGGAGTGCAGTGGTGTAATCTTGGCTCACTGCAACCTCCGTGTTCCGGGTTTAAGCTATTCTGCCTTAGCCTCCCAAGTAGCTGGGATTGCAGATGACCACCACTACAACTGGCTAATTTTTGTATTCTTAATAGAGACAGGATTTCACCATGTTTGCCAGCTTGGTCTCTAACCTCAAGTGATCAACTTGTGTCGGCCTCCCAAAGTGCTGGTATTACAGGCATGAGCTACTGTGTCTGGCCCTATTTTATTTGATCAGCCTAAGAGGGTATTTATTCTTTTGAATGTTTGGTTTTTTTCCCTGTTTATTTGCATTTGCTTTAGGTTAATAGTGTTTTCTTCAGATGCAAAAGACATATGTAGGGATATTTGTTTTTAACCACATTAGCTCCATTCATTAGCTCCATGAGCTGTCTTTTCAAAAATGGACAGGAGAATAATGAATCCCCATGTACTCATCACCCAGTGTGAATAATTATCAACTCCTGACTATTTGTTATGTCTAAATTCCTGCACTTTATCTAATATTCCTGCATATTATTTTGACACAAGTATCTGACATCATATCATTTTGTCTGTAAATATTTAGTGTATATCTCTAAAAGATCAGAATACTTGAAAATCAAAATACCATTATCACATCTAAAAAAATAGTAATATAATATCTTTTTTTTTTTTTTTTTTTTGAGACGGAGTTTCGCCCTTGTTACCCAGGCTGGAGTGCAATGGCACGATCTCGGCTCACCGCAACCTCCGCCTCCTGGGCTCAGGCAATTCTCCTGCCTCAGCCTCCTGAGTAGCTGGGATTATAGGCACGTGCCACCATGCCCAGCTAATTTTTTGCACTTTTAGTAGAGACGGGGTTTCACCATGTTGACCAGGATGGTCTCGATCTCTCGACCTCGTGATCCACCCGCCTCGGCCTCCCAAAGTGCTGGGATTACAGGCTTGAGCCACCGCGCCCGGCGTAATATAATATCTTAACATCACTTGATGTGCAGGTTGTTTACTTTTCCAAATGGAAATGAAGAACATAACTTTCAAACTCTGGTACAGACTGCAGTTTTTTGTTTGTTTGTTTTTTGAGAAGGAGTTTTTTTTTTTGTTTTTTGAGAAGGATTGCTCCAGTGCCCAGTCAGGAGTGCGGTGATGCAATCTCGGCTCACTGCAATCTCTGCTTCCTGGGTTGAAGTGATTCTCCTGCTTCAGTCTCCCGAGTAGCTGGGATTACAGGTGCCTGCCACCACGCCCAGCTAATTTTTTGTATTTTTAATAGAGACAGGATTTCATCATACTGGCCAGGCTGGTCTTGAACTCCTGACCTCGTGATCCACCACCTTGCTTCCCAAAGTGCTGGGCGTGAGCCACCACGCCCGGCTGCCTATGTTCTTTTACTTAATTCTTACAACAACATCCTTAAGTAGGTACGTTCATGTTCCATTTTATAGATGAAGAAATGAAGGCTTAAAAAGGCTAAGTAACGTCCTTTGAGAACCTAAGTAATTTGCCCATATTCACACTAGAAATCCAGGATGTTAGATGACAAATTCTGTTGGCAGGGCTGGTGAAAATGCAAATTGGTACAACCCCTGTAGAGGGGAATTGGCAGTATCACATTCACCTTTACTCCTTGTCTCAACAATGCTATTTCTAGGAATGTACCCCAAAGATAATATTGGCAAAATATACAGAGAGATACCTGTACATGGCTGTTCATAGCAGAACTGTTTGTAATGGTTAAAAGACTAGAAACAACTCAGATGTCTGCCATTAAATAAGCCATGATACATCCACACACGCTGAAGTACTATGTAGGTTTTTTGTTTGTTTTTTTGAGATGGAGTCCCACTCTGTTGCCCAGGCTGGAGTGCAGTTATGCAGTCTTGGTTCAGTGCAACCTTGAGCTCCTGGGTTCAAGCAATTCTTGTGTCTCAGCCTCCCCAGTAGCTGGGACTACAGGCACCTGTCACCACACCCAGCTAATTTTTGTATTTTTAGTAGAGACAGGGTTTCACCTTCTTGGTCAGACTGGTCTCGAACTCCTGACCTCAGGTAATCCACCTGCCTCGGCCTCCCAAAGTGCTGGGATTACAGATGTGAACCACCATGCCCGGCCTTTTTTTTTTTTTAAAGAGAGATGAGGTCTCACTCTGTTGCCCAGGCTGGAGTGTAGTGGTGCGATCCTAGCTGACTGCCGCCTTGAAGTCTTGGGCTCAAGCGACTCTCCTGCTCAGGCTTCCAAATAACTGAGACTACAGGTGCACACCACCATGGCCAGCTAATTTGAGGAGTTTTCTATTTAAAAGTGTGCTGATAGTAAGTATACTTTTAAAATAAAAGTAAGTAAAAAAATTGGCTTAAAGAAAAACAGGTTGGCCAGGCATGGTGACTCATGCTTGTAATCCCAGCACTTTGGAAGGCCGAGGTGGGTGGATCACCTGAGGTCAGGAGTTCAAGACCAGCCTGGCCAACATGGTGAAACTCTGTCTCTACTAAAAATGCAAAAAATTAGCCGGGCGTGGTGGCAAATACCTGTAATCCCAGCTACTCAGGAGGCTGAGGCAGGAGAATCACTTAGACCTGAGAGGCAGAGGTTGCAGTGAGCCGAGATTGCGCCACTGCACTCCAGCCTGGGCAATAGGGCAAGACTCTGTCTCAAAAAAATAAAAAAAAGAAAAATAGTGCATAAATAATAGTACTGGTAGAATTGAGATATGACAAATATTGTATGGCATGACAAAGTTGGAACCTTTACTAGGCTATACTGATTCCATTGGTATGAATGATGAAATAAAGAAGCATTTAATAAGCTTTGCTTATATCCCTAATATCCACATTTTATTGCAGCCTCTTTTGAAAAAGAAATATTTTACATAAAACCGTGTGTGTGTATATGTGTGTATGTGTGTGTGTATGTGTGTATCTGTATGTTTTCAAAGGCCTTAACTATGATAAGAAAGTACAGGCCGGGTGCGGTCGCCTATGCCTGTAATCCCAGCACTTTGGGAGGGAGGTGAGCGGATCACCTGAGGTTGGGAGTTTGAGACCAGCCTGACCAACATGGAGAAACCCCATTTCTACTAAAAATACAAAGTTAGCTGGGCGTGGTGGCACATGCATGTAATCCCAGCTACTTGAGAAGCTGAGGCAGGAGAATCGCTTGAACCTGGGAGGTAGAGGTTGCTGTGAGCCAAGATCATGCCATTGTACTCCAACCCGGGCAACAAGAGCAAAACTCCATTTTAGGCTGGGCGCGGTGGCTCAAGCCTGTAATCCCAGCACTTTGAGAGGCTGAGGTGGGTGGATCACGAGATCGAGAGATTGAGACCATCCTGGTCAACATGGTGAAACCCCGTCTCTACTAAAAATACAAAAAATTAGCTGGGCATGGTGGCACGTGCCTGTAATCCCAGCTACTCAGGAGGCTGAGGCAGGAGAATTGCTTGAACCCAGGAGGCGGAGGTTGCGGTGAGCCGAGATCACGCCATTGCACTCCAGCCTGGGTAACAAGAGCGAAACTCCATCTCAAAAACAAAAACAAAAAACTCCATCTTAAAAATTACAGAGAATTTTTTTTATTGTTGTTACAGAATGTCATACCCAGGCTATCCCCCAACAGGCTACCCACCTTTCCCTGGATATCCTGTAAGTATTACCACTTAAAATACTAAAATATTTCACATCCTTAAAACAGGTGTTGTTTGGGACTGGACCATGTCAGATCTTATAGATATGCTAGAGCAAGGGTCATAAACTCAAATGCTCAGAGGTACTGAGTAGAACAAGTGAGTGAAGGCAGTTGTGTGGGGGACTAGAAAGATGTTGCTTCATCTGTGGAAAGTTGGCAGGTGCTTAGCACTATCCCTATGTAGCCATAGAGGGAGGCACACTCAGTGTTGCTAGATAATTTAGCCCTTCAAGTAAAGTCAGAAACTTGGGTTCTATGTGAAATTGCCCTAAGTTTCAAAATTTAGGAGTTAGCTTTAAAAAATGTTAACTGCTCTATGACCCAATAAAACATGGATATAAGCTAAATCCGTCCCTTGAATCACTGGTTCTTTTTTTTTTTTTTTTTTTTAATACCCTTGAGTCATAGTATCACTGCGTCTTAACCTTTATGTTAGAATGTTCAAAATATTTAAGGGTGTGGCTTAACCCAGAGGTAAATTGCAGTGAATTTATAGTTCTGAGACTTGGAGTACATTTTATAAATGTGCTACTAAGTTTCACCTTGTTGATAGCTATACTACTGTGAGGACTAAGAGCTGAGCCATAAGTAAGAATTGTGCATTTTAGGTTTTTTGTTTGTTTGTTTGTTTTTTGAGACGGAGTTTTGCTCTTATTACCCAGGCTGGAGTGCAATGGCGCGATCTCGTCTCACCGCAACCTCCGCCTCCTGGGTTCAGGCAATTCTCCTGCCTCAGCCTCCTGAGTAGGTAGGATTACAGGCACGCGCCACCATGCCCAGCTAATTTTTTCTATTTTTAGTAGAGACGGGGTTTCACATGTTGACCAGGATGGTCTCGATCTCTTGACCTCGTGATCCACCCGCCTCGGCCTCCCAAAGTGCTGGGATTACAGGCTTGAGCCACTGCGCCCGGCCTTTTTTTTTTTTTAATTATTATTTTCTTTTTTTGAGATAAAGTCTTGCACTACATCCAGGCTGGAGTGCAGTGGCATGATTTCAGCTCACTGCAGCGTCTGCCTCCTGGGTTCAAGTGATTCTCCTGCCTCAGCCTCCTGAGCAGCTGGGATTATAGGCGCCTGCCACCATACCCGGCTTATTTTTGCAGTTTTAGTAGAGATGGGGGTTTCACCATGTTGGCCAGGCTGGTCTCAAACTCCTGACCTCAAATGATCTGTGCATTTAGGCCTCCCAAAATGCTGGGATTACAAGTGTGAGCCACTGCACCTGGGTGCATTTCAGTTTTTTTATTTTTTTTTTTTTTTGAGATGGAGTCTTGCTCTGTCACCAGGCTGGAATGCAGTGGTGCGATATTGGCTCACTGCAGCCTCTGCCTCCTGGATTCAAGCAATTCTCCTGCCTCAGCCTCCTGAATAGCTGGGATTACAGGGATGTGCCACCAGTCCCAGCTAATTTTTGTATTTTTAGTAGAGATGGGGTTTCACCACGTTGGCCAGGATGGTCTTGATCTTCTGACCTCACGATCTGCCTGCCTTGGCGGTCCCAAAGTGATAGGATTACAGATGTGAGCCACCATTCCCAGCCCGCATTTCAGTTTTATACTCATAACTGTGGGTCCGCTATCGAACCCTGGGAGAATTGGAAGAGGGGTTTATACAAGTTTATGATAATAAGTGTATCCTTATGCATAGTGATTATATAGCTCTGGTGAATTTATCATAGGAGAGATGAGAATTATGGTTATGTGCCCAAGTCTCGGTATATTAAACCGGGCTCTAGGAACCATTTCAGTCAGTGTAGGCTTGTTGCTAAAACAGACAACTCCCAAATTTCAGTGACTTCACAATGAAAAAAATGTATTTTTTTCTTCAGTTTCCTATAAGTCAATGGTGGCTAGCGGGTGGGTGGGATGAAGCTTTGTTTCATGTAATGTTTTGGGTTCCCAGGCTCCTTCCTTATTCTCTAGCACTTTGGAGTCCTCTACTGGATCCTCTGCTTAAGGTGGCAAATGAAGGAAGAGAGAGAGCATGGAGGACTGGGCAGAGGTTTTCAGGGGACAAGTTTAGGAAGTAGTGTACATCACTTCTGTCTGCATTCATTCACTGATACTCATTCACATAGTCCAACCTAACTGCAAGGGGCTCTGAGAAATGTAGTCTCTACAGCTTTGTGGCCTGGGGAGAAAGAGTTCGGTGAACATATAACAATCTCTTCCACTCTGCATACTGTCTGCTTTGAACTATGAAGGTCCAAAATGTCACAGTCTGTGTGTGATGTAATATACAGGTTATCTTTTTTATTTTTAAATATTATGTAACAGATCCAGATGTGTTGCAAGAGAGCCTCAGATTCCTCTCTTTAGGGTAGAAAGGAGGATCTTTCTCATATTTGTAGATACTGGGAAAATGAAGGAACTAAGTTTTGTTTGTTTTTCTTGAAACCTTGAGGTTTGTAAAGAACCCCGTTTTGACTCCCAAATAGAGAAGCAGACCCCTCTTGCCCGACTCAAGTAGATAATTCTGACAAACAAGTGTCCTTACAAACTGGTATACTGATAAACTAGTATAAGATACCAGGATTTCAGCTGGGCGCAGTGGCTCATGCCTGTAATCCTAGCACTTTGGGAGGCCGAGGCGGGCGGATCACTAGGTCAGGAGATGAGACCATCCTGGCCGACATGGTGAAACCCATCTCTACTAAAAATACAAAAATTAGCTGGACATGGTGGTTCAGTCCTGTATATCCAGCTACTCAAGAGGCTAAGGCAGGAAAATCGCTTGAACCCAGGAAGTGGAGGCTGCAGTGAGCTGAGATCATGCCAGTGCACTCTAGCCTGGAGGACAGAGTGAGATTCTGTCTCAAAAAAAAAGATACCAGGATTTTTTTTTTTTTTTTTTTTTTTTTTTTTTGAGACGGAGTTTCACTCTCGTTACCCAGGCTGGAGTGCAATGGTGCGATCTCGGCTCACCGCAACCTCCGCCTCCTGGGCTCAGGCAATTCTCCTGCCTCAGCCTCCTAAGTAGCTGGGATTACAGGCACGCACCACCATGCCCAGCTAACTTTTTTTTTGTATTTTTAGTAGAGACGGGGTTTCACCTTGTTGACCAGGATGGTCTCGATCTCTCGACCTCGTGATCCACCCGCCTCGGCCTCCCAAAGTGCTGGGATTACAGGCTTGAGCCACCGCGCCCGGCCAGATACCAGGATTTTTAATGGGACTTTTAAAAAGTAAAAGAATGAGCTAGACCTTAATAGTAACCTCTGTTTGTTCCTTATTTTTAGATGGGTCATGTTTCTCTGTGATCACTTTTGTTTAAAAATTATTCTGATTTTTCAGCCTGCAGGTCAGGAGTCATCTTTTCCCCCTTCTGGTCAGTATCCTTATCCTAGTGGCTTTCCTCCAATGGGGGGAGGTGCCTACCCACAAGTGCCAAGTGGTAGCTATCCAGGAGCTGGAGGCTACCCTGCGCCTGGAGGTTATCCAGCCCCTGGAGGCTATCCTGGTGCCCCACAGCCAGGGGGAGCTCCATCCTATCCCGGAGGTGAGTTATGGATTGTGGAATTAGTAATGATTTGGGATTGCTGTAGCACTTCTTCCTTCTCCCTTTATCCTCTTTATTCCTGCTTATTTTGTATGAGGTCAGAGTCAGTCTTAGTAACCTTAGATAGTAAGGACCTAGCTGGCAAGATGGAGGGATGAAGATTCTCAGGGGACATGAAAGCTGGGAGCAGTTTCAAAAATTCAATTATGAAGGGACTTAGAATAAATTTTATGACATTAAAGGACCAGTTTGTAACACTTTGCTTGTTTGTAGTCTTTTTTTTGAGACGGAGTTTCTCTCTTGTTACCCAGGCTGGAGTGCAATGGCACGATCTCGGCTCACCGCAACCTCCGCCTCCTGGGTTCAGGCACTTCTCCTGCCTCAGCCTCCTGAGTAGCTGGGATTACAGGCACGTATCACCATGCCCAGCTAATTTTTTGTATTTTTAGTAGAGACGGGGTTTCACCTTGTTGACCAAGATGGTCTCGATCTCTTGACCTTGTGATCCACCTGCCGCTTGTTTGTAGTCTTAAGACATTTCACTTAGCAAGACTGTGACTTTTAGGTCAGCTTTAACCAAAGGTAACCTCCCACTGCTCCACCAAAAAAAAGTATTAGCACTTTTGTATTTTAAGTTAGTAAGGAAGATTAATAAAGTAAAATTTTGGCTGGGTGTGGTGGCTCATGCCTGTAATCCCAGTACTTTTGGAGGCCAAGGTGGGTAGATCACTTGAAGTCAGGTGTTCAAGACCAGCCTGGCCAACATGGTGAAACCCTGTCTGTACTAAAAATAGAAAAATTAGCTGGATGTGATGGTGCGTGCCTGTGAGGCTGAGACGGGAAAATCACTTAAACCTGGTAGGTAGAGGTTGCAGTGAGCTAAGATTGCGCCACTGCTCTCCAGCCTGGGTGACAGAGTGAGACTCTTTCTCAAAAAAAAAAAAAAAAAAAAAAAAAAAAAATTGCTGGCCATCATAGCACATGCCTGTAGTCCTAGCTATGGCAGGCTGAGGTGGGTGGGTTGCTTGAGCTGAGGCATTCAAAGTTGCAATGAGCCAGATTGTGCCACTGCACTCCAGCCTAGGTAACAGAGTGAGACAGTCTCTTTAAAATAAAAAAAATAAAAAAAATAAAGTAAAATTTTACAAATTTTTTTTTTTTTTTACTGGAGACATTGACGTTTTTAATCTAGATAAAAAGGGACTGCTATTATAACATTAATAGCATATTTTTTCCACTATTAACAATAAACATTTTTCTAAAGTTTTTCCTGCAATCATGAGAACTGTAATATAGTTTATTGACCTATTCTTTAGTTCCTCCAGGCCACGGATTTGGAGTCCCACCAGGTGGAGCAGGCTTTTCTGGCTATCCACAGCCACCTTCACAGTCTTATGGAGGTGGTCCAGCACAGGTCCCACTACCTGGTATGTACCAGCTATCCAGAGAAAAACAATATCATCATTTTTTGAATGTTAAATTGCCATTGAGAAAACTTAGTTTATATTTGAGATAATCTGTAATAAATGTTTATATATTTCTATAATTTTAAATAAAATGGTTTTATGAAATATATTAAATTGATGGAAAAGTTTAATCGGTAAAATAGAGATAAGGTCACACTTTTTCTATTAAAACAATCTATCCCAAAGCCAAAAAGGAAGCTTTCAGGAACTTCTCTGCCCACTCCTGTACCACAAGTGAAACCACCTCCAGAACTATATTCTGACAACCATTCCAGATGGAATCAGAATTTAATCTGGCTCAAGTGTGAAAAAGTATTATTTGTGAGGATCTTATGTAGAACATGGAATATTAAAAAGGTTTTTTTGACCAAAGTTGGTTTTAGATTCAGTAAGTATAATATTTTTTAAAATTATCCTCATGAATATCATAATGTGAATGTTCTTGTATGTTTCCATATTCATAGTCATCAATGCTGTTTTGAAAAATTAAAACTTATAAGACCTGTTGCTATATTATTATTTTTTAAACATACAGGTGGCTTTCCTGGAGGACAGATGCCTTCTCAGTATCCTGGAGGACAGCCTACTTACCCTAGTCAGGTATTTTGTTCCTACCTTTTAAGCTCAGTCTAGGTAGCTAGGTAAAGAAGGAACCGTTCCTTTGCTAAGGTTTCTGTGAATCAGAGGAAATGGTCCATTATAGTAATGGAAGACTTTAATCTTTGATTGTGATAGACTCCATACTTTCTTTGGTCTATCTGCTTTACTTGTGTCCCGATGACTTTGAGAAGACAAGCATAGGTTCTTCTCATAGGTCATGATTCTCATAACTTTATCCTAAAGATGCACCTGGGCTCTTGGTTTCAGATCTTTATCTTCTTCCTGCCCTTACCAGCAGTTATACCTATAAATTTGGGTGGCTGGTTTTAGTATTTCTGACAGTGATTTATGTAGGGTGGTTTTGTTTCCCATTTTTACCTTATAACTTTTCACTCTTTTTTCAGATCAGTACAGAATCTTTTCCTTCCTATCCTGTTTTCTCTCCTGTTTCTTTGGATTATAGCAGTGAAGTGAGTAAGGTTTTCTAATGTTCACTAATCACTAGGTCCTTTATATGTATAGCCTTTGTTTCTGATTCTCATGTACTTTTGCTCTCACTACATCCTAAAGGGCTCAGCTGTCTGTTTGATCTTTATGTTCCTGTAATGATTGGTAGGGCTTTAGACATGGTAGCCAGTTAAGTCTGTTGAGTGAATTTTCTCAGTAGCTGCAGTTTCCCATATATCCAATCTTGGTCCTATGGCTTCTTCATTTTTTTTGAGATGGAGTTTAGCTCTCGTCACCCAGGCTGGAGTGCAGTGGCATGACCTCGGCTCACTGCAACCTCCACCTCCTGGGTTCAAGTGAGTAGCTGGGATTACAGGCACCTGCTACCATGCCTGGAAATTTTTTTGTGTTTTTAGTAGAGATGTGGTTTCACCATGTTGGCCAGGCCAATCTCAAACACCTGACCTCAGGTGATCCACCCACCTCAGCCTCCCAAAGTGCTGGGATTATAGGCGTGAGCCACTGTGCCTGGCCTCTCTTCTTATTTTAATCTTAAATTTTATTCTTAAATTGCCTTGTTTTTTTTTTTTTCCTGCTTCACAATCTATTTTTGGCATTAGAGCCTTGTTAATTTTTTTTATAGCCTACGCAAGTTACTAGGAACATAATAAGCAGTATACTTCTATGCTTACTCTTACCTCAATTTTTTTTTATTGATTTCTATACTGGATATTCATGAATATCTAGCATTTCAAGTTTGTTTTAGGCTGGGGTAGGACAAGTATTATAGTATTAGAAGAGAAACACCTTAGTGATCTTTTCTGGCTCACTTTCCTGATTTGAGGCATGTTAGCTCCAGAGAAGTTGAGAAACTTGTCTAAGGCCACACAACTAGTGAAGGACAAAGCTGAGAAGATTCTAGTCTACATCTTCTGCCTTCTAGACCAGTGATTTCTCTTATACAGAGCTGCTTTGCTAATACAGTAAATGATATTCTTCCAAAGCACGTAGTAAGTTGCTTTCAGTCCTATTTTTTTTTTTTTTGAGACGGAGTTTCGCTCTTGTTACCCAGGCTGGAGTGCAATGGCGCAATCTCCGCTCACCGCAACCTCTGCCTCCTGGGTTCAGGCAATTCTCCTGCCTCAGCCTCCTGAGTAGCTGGGATTACAGGCACGCGCCACCATGCCCAGCTAATTTTTTGTATTTTTAGTAGAGACAGGGTTTCACCATGTTAACCAGGATGATGTTGATCTCTTGACCTCGTGATCCACCCATCCTCAGCCTCCCAGAATGCTGGGATTACAGGCGTGAGCTACCGCACCCGGCCTCAGTCCTATTTTTCATTGTTGAAGTTGTTTACCAATCGTACTATAAACCTGTAGTTAATCATTTTTGTTGTGGAAATTTGAATTTTAGTTTAAGCATGCATATAGTTTTAGAGAAATCATTTTATGACTGAGTGTGAATGATTTTTTTTTTTTTTTTTTTTTTGAGACAGAGCCTTGCTCTGTTGCCAGGCTCCAGGCTGGAATGCAGTGGCATGATCTCAGCTCACTGCAACCTCTGCCTCCCAGGTCCAAGCAATTCTCCTGCCTCAGCCTCCTGAGTAGCTGGGACTACAGGCATGTGCCACCACACCCAGCTAATTTTTGTATTTTAGTAGAGACAAGGTTTCACTGTGTTGACAAGGATGGTCTCGATCTCTTGACCTCATGATTTGCCTGCCTTGGCCTCCCAAAGTGCTGGGATTACAGATGTGAGCCACCACACCCTTCCAATATGAATGATTTTTAAGCATAGAACAGTAAAAGTAAAGCACATGTATGTATGCAACTTACTTTATGTAACAATTACCACCTTAAGCTGGAACTAAAACCAATAGGTAGAAGTTAATAGAATGCAGATTGGTAGCTCTTGGAAGAGCTTTTATATGGAAGCGAAATAAGCTACCCTGTGAGAGGTGAGCTCCTTGTCATTGAAAGTCCTTGGGAAGATTTTGGTTGATGTAAGTATGGATGTGTCTGTGTGTATCAGGGAAGATGTAAAAAAAAATTTGTCTGGCTGGGTGTGGAGGTCAAGAGATCGAGACCATCCTGGCTATCACGTTGAAACTTTGTCTCTATTAAAATTACAAAAAATTAGCTGGGCATGGTGGCACACGCCTGTAGTCCCAACTACTTACGAGGCTGAGGTAGGATAATTGCTTGAACCCGGGAGATGAAGGTTGCAATGAGCTGAGATCATGCCATTGCACTCCAGCCTGGGCAACAAGAGCAAAACACCTTCTCAAAAAAAAAATTTTGTTTTAGATAGGTAGTTGGGCCAGTTTACCCCACTTGATTGATCCAGTTCTCTAATTCTGTGATAATTTTGTTGTTTTGTTTGTTTATTTATTTATTTATTTATTTTTTGAGACGGAGTTTTGCTCTTGTTACCCAGGCTGGAGTGCAATGGCGCGATCTTGGCTCACTGCAACCTCCGCCTCCTGGGTTCAGGCAATTCTCCTGCCCCAGCCTCCTGAGTAGCTGGGATTACAGGTACGTGCCACTGTGCCCAGCTAATTTTTTGTATTTTTAGTAGAGACGGGGTTTCACCATGTTGACCAGGATGGTCTCGATCTCATGACCTTGTGATCCACCCGCCTCGGCCTCCCAAAGTGTTGGGATTACAGGCGTGAGCCACTGCGCCTGGCGTTCGTTTATTTTTGAGACAGGATCTCACTCTCCTGCTTGAGTCAGGCTAGAGTACAGTAGCGTGATCAAAGCTCACTGCAACCTTAAAATTCAAGTGATTCTCCTGCCTCTGCCTCCTGAGTAACTGGGACTATAGCGTCATGTGCCGTCTAATTTTTTTTATTTGTTGCAGACACGAAGGTTTTGCTGTGTTGCCCAGGCTGGTCTCGAACTCCTTGGCTCAAGCGATCCACCTGCCTCAGCCTCCAGAGTAACTGGAACTACAGCACCATGCCCACCTAATTTTTTTTTTTTCTCTTTTTTTTTTGAGACGGAGTTTCGCTCTTGTTACCCAGGCTGGAGTGCAATGGCGCGATCTCGGCTCACCGCAACCTCCGCCTCCTGGGTTCAGGCAATTCTCCTGCCTCAGCCTCCTGAGTAGCTGGGATTATAGGCACACGCCACCATGCCCAGCTAATTTTTTGTATTTTTAGTAGAGATGAGGTTTCACCATGTTGACCAGGATGGTCTCGATCTCTCGACCTTGTGATCCACCCGCCTCGGCCTCCCAAAGTGCTGGGATTACAGGCTTGAGCCACCATGCCCGGCGCCCACCTAATCTTTAAAAAATTTTTTATAGAGACGAACATTTTGCTTTGTTGCCCAGACTGGTCTCGGACTCCTGGGCTCAAGCGATCCTACTGCTTCAGCTTCTCAAAGTGCTGAGATTGCAGTTATGAGCCACTGTGCCCAGCCCTATGATAGTTTTTCAGCAAGAAGGTTGGAATCAAATGGGCATCAAAGAGGAATATCAAAGGTCAGAACTTCTGTGAGCAGATTGCGCTGAGAAATCTCCTTAGAGTTTTAACCTCAAGAACACAGATCCTGATTTCTTTGAATTCAGTTGAATGCCTGGAAGATGATAATATTCATGAAAATTTACTTCAAACTTAGACTTTCAACAGAGAATAAATACATCAAAAAAATTTTACACTACAGATGAAATATGAAATCTATTTTTTTTTTTTTGCAAAAGAGAATGACAGAAAATAAGAATCATCAAACAGTACACCACGAGGGTTAGTTTATCTAGTCCATTGTATTAGAAACAATAGCTTCTGTCCTATTTAGGATTTTAGTGACAGTGGTTACATCAAAGGAAACTTAGTTTCTGGAGACGTGAAGCCTTACAAATTTTTTTTTTGTTCTTGAATATTTGCTACAAATAGAATAATTTTAGGGATTTTTTTTTTTTAAACCACTATAGGAATATTTGTTAGTTCTCTGCTTAGAGCCCTAGCTTAGAAACTAGTAGAGGATGGATGCTAAGGCTTACTGTTAGAAGAAAATGTTGGAATAAAAATACACATGAGTGGGAGGAGTTATTGACCCATAAAAGTGTTATCTTGAAAAGCTGCTGCAAGATGGTCTTGTTCTCGTCTCCTCAGTTGCTTTGCCCCCACAAGTGCTGGCATACTGCTATAGTCAATGTGTATAACTTCAAATACAGTTTCAGTTGTCTAAAAAGCAATTGAATCATCTTACATTTTGAAATGGTATTGATTGCATGTTTAAATGATAATATTTTGGAGGTATTGGATTAAATAAAATGTGTGTGTGTTTTCTGCAGTGAAAACACTTATTTTACAACAGTCATGTTTATTTTAGGTCAATATTCAGACATATAAGAAATGTGTTAAATTTTTTTTGAAAAAGTAATGCAGTATCGTCTTCATCCTATCTTTCTTATGCCCTGACTTGAATACCCTAAGAAAATTCTTGAATTATTCCAGGCTGGGCACATACCTGTAATTCTAGCACTTTGGGAGGCCATGGCAGGGGGATCACTTGAGGCCAGGCCTCAACATAGCAACATAGCGCAACATTAGCAAGACCCTCGTCTCTACAAAAGTAAAAAAATTAGCTTGGTGTGGTAGCACGTGCCTGTAGTGCTAGTTACTCAGGAGGCTCAGGCAGGAGGATTGCTTGAGCTCAGGAATTCAGGGTTACAGTGAGCTATGTTTGTGCCACTGTACTCTAGCCTGAACAATAGAGTAAGACCTTATCTCTAAAAAATAAAAAATAGATGAAAGCTATTGAATTATTTCATAGCTTTGTATTTTAAAGTTTTATCTTTTAATTTTGACATAATTTTAGACTTGCAAAATAGTACAAATAACTCATATATACATTTTACTCAGATTCTCCAAATGTTAACTTCCTACATAAATACAATACAACGATGAAAATCAGGAAAGAACATTGATATAGTACTGTTACTCAACCTATGGACCTTATTTCAGTTTCACCAGTTGTCTGAGTAATGTCCTTTTTCTGATTCAGGGTCAAGTCCAGAATGCGATGCTATATTTATTGACATGTCTCTTAAGTTTCCTTTAATCCGAAATAGTTCCTGAGTCTTTTTTGAGACGGAGTTTCACTCTTGTTACCCAGGCTGGAGTGCAATGGCGCGATCTCGGCTCACCGCAACCTCCGCCTCCTGGGCCCAGGCAATTCTCCTGCCTCAGCCTCCTGAGTAGCTGGGATTACAGGCACGCACCACCATGCCCAGCTAACTTTTTGTATTTTTAGTAGAGACGGGGTTTCACCTTGTTGACCAGGATGGTCTCGATCTCTCGACCTCGTGATCCACCCGCCTCGGCCTCCCAAAGTGCTGGGATTACAGGCTTGAGCCACCGCTCCCGGCAATTCCTGAGTCTTTGTTGTTCATCCTCTTGATGCTTTTGAGGAACACTGTCAATTATTTTGTAAAATACATCTTAATTTGGGTTTGTCTCATATTTCCTCATGGTTAAATCCAGGTCATGCCTTTTTGGCAAGAATACCACATCAATGATTTTGTGCCCCCAGAGCATTATATCAGGAGGCACTTTTTGTTGGCTTATTCCGCTACTGGTGATAATTAATTTTGATCACTTGTTTAAGGTGGTGCCTGCAGTGTTTCTCTGCTGTAATGTTATAAACTATGTAAATATCCTGTTTCTTTATACTTTTGCCACCCAATTTTAGCACCCATTGGTGATTCTTGCCTGAAATAGTACTACCATAGTATTTGCCAAATGGCGATTTTGAAATTTTCATAGATTTATTTCATGTATAATAATCAGGGTCCATATGAGAAATTAAGAGATAATACTAAAATTATATTGCTGGTTTGAAATCTCACTGGGCACTTATGTTCTACTTCACTAAAGCCATTTTATATTCTTCTGTTTTTAAATCAAACATTGTTTGATTTAAACTATTAAGGGATCAATCTCTTTTTTTTCTTACTATTCTACTGAAAAGGAAACCATAAGAAAATTGGGACTTTAATTTCACAAGTTTGGCCATCTTTTCTCCTGGAAATTTGGTGTCTGGCTATCTGTTGGCAGGAGAAAAATCTGTCCTGAAGGCGTATAGGTCTTTCCTGTCTGTTCCAGAATAAGCCCTGTTAATAAAATGCTCATATCCTTGCCCTAAAACCCAAATATTGGCCTTACTTCATAACATTTCCTCATTAGAAACTTACTGGAAATGCTGACTTGGATTTTATGCCTTTTATTCTCAGCCTACCACAATGATTCAGGGCACTCAAGGAACTATCCGACCAGCCGCCAACTTCGATGCTATGAGAGATGCAGAAATTCTCCGTAAGGCAATGAAGGGTTTTGGTAAGGAAAACAAATTTGTGTCTTTTTTAAATAAGGTAAAGTGATCAATTCTAAAGTAAAAAGAAACCTTATATCATAAACCAAGTGTATGTGTCAGCCTGGGTGCACATACCTGAATTTAATCTGGTGACTAGTGCCTTGTAAACATTCTAAGAGATGACCTCAGGCTAGGTGTGGTGGTTCACACCTGTAGTCCCAGCACTTTGGGAGGCCAAGGTGAGTGGATCACCTGACTTCAAGACCACCCTGGCCACTATGGTGAAACCTCATCTCTTCTATAAAAAAAAAAAAAAAAGCTGGGCTTGGTGGTACATGCCTGTAATCCCAGCTTCATGGAAAGCTGAGTAAGGAGAATTACTTGAACCTGGGAGGTGGAGGTTGCAGTGAGCTAAAATTGTACCATTGCACTCCAGTCTGGGTGACAAACTCCATCTCAGAAAGAAAAAAGAGAGAGATGACCTCAGGGAGCACCTAGCACATACTTTGTCCTTACTTAAACATGTGTGGTTATTCCAGGGACAGACGAACAGGCAATTGTGGATGTGGTGGCCAACCGTTCCAATGATCAGAGGCAAAAAATTAAAGCAGCATTTAAGACCTCATATGGCAAGGTATGTTTTTTTCTTTCCTGGAGTGAGCACCAGCAGTGGCCAGTAGACTGCATTCATGTCAGATTGGATACAATCTTTTGATTAGTACCTGTGGTGCAAAGGAGGGACAACTGACTTTAGAGACCTCAAGAGTACTGTATTCCCTATTTATTTCTCTCTTATTTTTTTTTAGATAAAGTTTTGCTGCAGTGTCCAGGCTGGACTGCAGTGGCACAATCTCGGCTCACTGCAACCTTTGCTTCCTGAGTTCAAGCGATTCCTTCACCTCAGCCTCACTAGTAGCTGGGACTACAGGTGCACACACCGTGCTCAGCTAATTGTATTTTAGTAGAGACGGGGTTTCACCATGTTGGCAAGGCTGGTCTTGAACTCCTGACTTCAAGTGATCTGCCCACTTCGGCCTCCCAAAGTGCTGGGATTACAGGCCTGAGCCACTGTGCCTGGCCTATTTCTCTTAAAAGGCTTTTTCATTCTAGAGTAGTCCTTGATTTCACAGTCATACCTTACACTGGTCACATATGTGATAGATGTTCAGTAGAAAATAGATCATGACCACAATCATGGTGAAGAGGATGGCTCTCAATCTTCTGCCTCTTTTTTTTTTTTTTGAGACACAGTCTCACTCTGTCGCCAGGCTGGAGTGCAGTGGCACAATCTTCGCTCACTGCAACCTCCGCATCCTGGGTTCAAGCAATTCTCCTGCCTCAGCCTCCCGAGTAGCTGGTACTACAGGTGCATGCCACCACACCCAGCTAATTTTTGTATTTTCAGTAGAGACGGGGTTTCACCATATTGGCCAGTATGGTCTCGATCTCTTGACCTCGTGATCCGCCCACCTCGGCCTCCCAAAGTGCTGGGATTACAGGCTTGAGCCACTGCGCCCGGCCAATCTTCTGCCTCTTACACAGTGGGATTCAAGGCTTATTACATAACCCTTATTTATTCTTGGTCTTGGATATCATCTTTTGCTTCCCTTCCTTTCTCTAAACGTGTTCCATATTAAAAATTATGTGGGCTGGGCATGGTGGCTTACGCCTGTAATCCCAGCACTTTGGGAGGCCAAGGAGAGAGAATTTCTTGACGCCAGGAATTTGAGACCAGCCTGGGCAACATAGGAGACACTTCATTTCCAACAACAATGACAACAAATTCTCTTAGCTGGGCGTCATGGCATGTGTCTGTAGTCATAGCTGTTTGGGAGGTTGAGGGGGGAAGATTGCTTGAGCCCAGGAAGTCAGGCTGCAGTGAACTGTGATCATACCACTGCACTGTAGCCTAGGTGACAGAACGAGACTCTGTCTCAAAAAAATAATACATAACTGCTTGCCATTGTTCTCTGTATACGCTATGATCTTTTATACTTCTCTGCTGTGTACGTGCCATTCTCCTGGCCTTGAATACCTTTTCTTCTTTTTGTCATGGCAAACTTTTTTAAAATTTGGCTTAAATATCAGCTACTCTGTGAAATTTCTTTCATTAGTCTGGACAGAATTTAGCTGCTTCCTAATACCGTAGTCCCACAGCACTTGTAAAACCTCTGTTACTACTAATTTCACTGCCCACCCCCAAAAACTGAGTTCCCATAGGACAAACCATGGTCATAGTTACCTTTATATTATAGTACGGAGTGTATAATGACAAGTAGCCACTTACTATTTATTAAATGGATGATCAGTTTCTAAATTCAACAAGAATCTATGGCTTAAAAATGCCATTGTTCCTCAGATATAATGGGAAAAAGTGGATAGCACTGCTTTGCATTTTTTTTTTTTTTTTTTTTACTTTTTTTGAGACAGAGTCTCAAAAGACTGGAGTGGCACAATCTCTGCTCACTGCAGCCTCTGCCTCCCAGGTAAAAGCAATTTTTGTGCCTCAGCCTTTGGAGTAGCTGGAATTACAGGTGTGTGTCACCACACCCAGCTAATTTTTGTGTTTTTCATAGACTTGGGATTTCACCATGTTGACCAGTATGGTCTCAAACTCCTGGCCTCATATGATCTGCCTCCCAAAGTACTGAGATGACAGGCATGAGCCCATGCCCTGCCTGCTTTGCCATTTAGATAGGAATCCTAAAAATGTCCTAATGTCCTCTGCATCCAGTGTATGTTTCTCAGAATGGGGTAGTGGTCCACTGATTGGTTCCATCTTGATTATTCTACTCTGCCTTTCCCTGTCTGCTCAGCCCAGTGACTGATTATGTAACACAAACCCTAGGTTTCCTTAAGGTTCAACATCAGACTCACTTCTCTCACAAAGATATTTTCTTTTTCTTTTTCTTTTTTTTTTTTTGAGTTGGAGTTTCGCTCTTGTTACCCAGGCTGGGGTGTAGTGGCGCGATCTCGGCTCACCGCGACCTCCGCCTCCTGGGTTCAGGCAATTCTCCTGCCTCAGCCTCCTGAGTAGCTGGGATTACAGGCACGTGCCACCATGCCCAGCTAACTTTTTTTTTTTTTTTTTTTGAGACGGAGTTTCGCTCTTGTTACCCAGGCTGGAGTGCAATGGCGCGATCTCGGCTCACCGCAACCTCTGCCTCCTGGGCTCAGGCAATTCTCCTGCCTCAGCCTCCTGAGTAGCTGGGATTACAGGCATGCGCCACCACGCCCAGCTAGTTTTTTTGTATTTTTTTTTTTTAGTAGAGACGGTGTTTCACATGTTGACCAGGATGGTCTCGATCTCTCGACCTCGTGATCCACCCGCCTCGGCCTCCCAAAGTGCTGGGATTACAGGCTTGAGCCACCGTGCCCAGCCGTTATTTTCGATGTTATGAATTTTTTTATCTAGTCTGTACAATGCTGTCTTGAGTTTTCTTGTATATTGCTCTAGAATTTAACAGTCTAATTTCCATGCTTAGCCACCTCTTCTCTTAACTTCCTATTAGTTAAAATACTATTCTTTTATAGAGTCATCTTTGATTCCATGTTTTTCTTTATCAGTTGGGGAGTATTGTGTATGCTTTGTTCTAGCAGTTGGTTATTTACTGGTTTTTATTGATCTAATCTGTAAAATGGCTTTTTTTTTTTTTTTTTTTTTTTTTTTTATGAGACGGAGTCTTACTCTGTCACCAGGCTGGAGTGCAGTGGCATGATCTTGGCTGCAACCTTCACCTCCTGGGTTCAAGCGATTCTCCTGCTTCAGCCTCCCGAGTAGCTGGGACTACAGGCATGCACCACCACGCCCAGCTAATTTTTGTATTTTTGTCGGGGTTTTACCATGTTGGCCAAGATGGTCAAGATCTCTTGACCTCATTATCAGCCCACATTGGCCTCCTAAAGTGCCAGGATTACAGACATGAGCCTCTGCACCTGGCCAAAATGGCCCTTTAAAATGTTTCTTTTGTCTACTTTGTTTCCTTCTCATTTCCATTGCTACCAAGACATTATTATCCCTTAACTAAATATTCCAGTAGCCTAAATGTTTTCATCTAGAGCTTCTTTGTCACCGTCATCCATTCTAAATGTTGTTGCTACATCAGTGCCATTTTCTTGCATGAAAAGTTTCCAGTGGTTCCTCCCAGCAAACAGAATCAAGTCCACATTCTTTAGCTTGGCATTCAATATAATTATCCAAGATTTCGTTACAAATTTGTTTTCCTCATCTATTATGAAAACCTTCCTCTGTAACAAAACCAGATGTCTTATTTTTCCATTGAACAAACTTTGCTCATTCTTGCCTCTCTACAGTGATTCTCAGCCTTAATTGAACATCGTAATCTCCCTTGGAACTTAAAAACACAGAATCAAAATCCTGAATCTTAGCCCTGAACATCAGTGTTTTTGTTTGTTTGTTTGTTTGTTTTTGTTTTTTTAAAGCTCCGAAGATGATCATAACAAAGAGTCAAGGCTGGAAACCCCTTCTCTGTTTCTTGGTGGTGTTCTTTCTTACCTGAAATACCTTTCTCCTTCTTCTTTGCCTGCTAATTTTTGTATTCTCTGAACTCTCCAGCTGACTTTGAACTTTTGCTGTTTCAACTTTCTCTGTTACTTATTTCTATGCTGCTTATCCAGTGCTAGAGTACAGGTTACCTTACTTTTTTTTTTTAGATGTGTATCTTTCTAAATAAGAACAAGATCAGCCAGGTACAGTGGCTCACACCTGTACTGTAATCCCACACTTTGGGAGGTCGAGGTGGGTGGATCACTTGAGGTCAGGCATTCAAGACCAGCCTGACGAACATGGTGAAACTCCGTCTCTATTGAAAATACAAAAATTAGCCGGGCCTGTAGTCCCAGCTGCTAAGGAGGCTGAGGCAGGAGAATTGCTTGAACCCAGCAGGTGGAGGTTACAGTGAGCTGAGATCATTGTGCTAGTGCACTTCAGGGTGACAGAGGTGACAGAGCGAGACTCTGTCTCAAAACAACAAAAACAAATAAGAAGATCATAATTGTTTTACTTCCTCATAGAACCAAGAACAGTTCTTTGTACTAAATAAATATCTGTTTATCATTGTGTTAGTTTGAATTATTATTTATTTCAGATATCCCTTGCTTTTTTTTTTTTTTAACCTGGTTGCGTGGAATAAGAATTTATTAAATGTTTATTGATAGAATGAATAAAATAGATCTGCTTGAGTGTAAGAAGTGTGTATCTGTAATAAACTTAAATTTATTTACTTATTTCTTAGTATATAACATTCAGATTTGAAATTTGGGTTTTTATAAAGCAATTCCATTTCTTTTTTTGTATTTTACTTAAAGCTTTAAGTGACAAATTTGGAGAACACATATACTTAGCTTGTTTTTATAATTAAATAGGATTTAATCAAAGATCTCAAATCAGAGTTAAGTGGAAATATGGAAGAACTGATCCTGGCCTTATTCATGCCTCCTACGTATTACGATGCCTGGAGCTTACGGAAAGCGATGCAGGTACTGTATGTTATTTATTGTGAGTATTTTGTCCTATTTCATATGTAAAACCCTACAAATTATAGCATTTTTGAATTTACAGTGATAATTAAACCGATACATTATTTCACATCATCTGAATGTATAGTTTTTTAGTTCTAGAGAACAAAGAAATAATGAAGCAGTAAGGTTTAATTACTTGCAGAAATTTCATTTTATTTTTGTATAATCCTCCGTTCATTTTACGTAGGGAGCAGGAACTCAGGAACGTGTATTGATTGAAATTTTGTGCACGAGAACAAATCAGGAAATCCAAGAAATTGTCAGATGTTATCAGTCAGAATTTGGACGAGACCTTGAAAAGGACATTAGGTCAGATACATCAGGACATTTTGAACGCTTACTTGTGTCCATGTGCCAGGTGAGTATAGTATGAGTGCTTGTGCATTATAGAGGGAACATACTTTAAAAGCCTTTTGCCAGTGAGCATTCTTTATTCCTTTTAATATTTGGCCACCTTGCAATATTGCTGTCTTTAAGAGGGACAACACAGAAACCAGTGTACTGATTTCTTTGTAGTTACTATTGGGATTTATTCCTGTAAATCTGGCTTTTGTAAGGAATTAGAGATTTAACCTCTAAGGTTGTATGGAATCAGAAACCAATTTGAGGCTCTATGGTTGGGATGAGAATGAAACTGTACATTTGAGCTTATCACTGTCCATTATGCTGCACCATCAAGTGCAGATGTGCAGGACTGCCATAGAGGTGCTATAGGAAGTGAGGACAGCCAGAAATGCAGAAAAATGTATTAGGGTTCCCATTAATAACTGTGATTAGCACCTTCCTTATTTTGATTCCCCAGATGTGCTGGAGAATTGACAGAAAATACTCCAAATAGAGTATTTGGAATGGCATTAGAAACACACTTAAGGCCAGACATAGTGGCTCACAACTGTGATTCTAGCACTTTTGGAGGCCAAGGCAGGAAGATCGCTTGAGGCCAGGAGATTGAGGCCAGCCTGGGCACCAGAGCAAGAAACCATCTCTACAAAAAAATTATTTTTTAATTGGTTGAGCATGGTGGTGGATACCTGTAGTGCCAACTATTCAGGAAGCTGAGTGGGAGGATCACTTGAGCCCAGGAGATTGAGGCTGCAGTGAAGTATGATTGCACCAGTGCATTCCAGCCTGGGCAACAGAGGAAGACCCTATCCTCAAAAAAAAAAAAAGAAAAAAGGAAACACGGAATGAGATGATGAATGTGTATTTGAAAGAGATGGTGTAAATGACTAGCATGCTGATTCAATATCAAGGGTTACCGGCTATTGTGCTAGTGCACAAAATTGGACCATCTGGAGGGGTCTAAAGGAGAGGAGGGGCCCTTAAGAGCCAAGGGAGGGGCCAGGCGTGGTTGTTTATGCCTGTAATTCCAGCACTTTGGGAGGCTGAGGTAGGTGGATCACCTGAGGTCAGGAGGGTGAGACCAGCCTGACCAACATGGTGAGACTCCATTTCTACTGAATACAAAAATTAGCCAGGAGTGGTGGCATGTGCCTGTAATTCCAGCCACTTAGGAGGCTGATGCAGGATAATTGCTTGAACTCGGGAGGCAGAGGTTGCAGTGAGCTGAGATTGTGCCATTACACTCCAGCCTGGGCAACAAGAAATTCTATCTTAAAAGCCAAGGGAGGTAGGTGTGGAAAGGATAGTGTATAACAGTGAGTGGATATGGTAATAAGAAAGCAAAGTAAATGTATTGAAGGAAATTGAATTTACCTGTAATAGAGTAACAGAACAGGGAAGTAGGTTAGGATTAAAAAAAAAACAAACAAACAAGAATAAGGAAAACAGAAACACTTAATGCTAAAAAATTGTTAAAGTTTTACACGAGGTGCTGAGTCTCTTTGTGCAGAGTTCAAGACCCAGCCCTACCTTTTTCATAGTATGAGTAGATGAGTAACTTCCTAGGAAAGTATGTGTGAATCCAAAGGTAATAATCTGGGAAGTTTTTTGTGAATACCTTTTCCTGTGTTATATTCACTCACCCATTTAGAATATGCCTCTATATATTCCTTGTGCCAGGTGCTCAGATGATGGTTCAGTTTCAAGGAGCATCTTTCCATCTTGTTCCTAAGATAGTCCCCGAGACTCTAAAAGGCAACCTTTTCTTGTTTGGGTTTGTCTTTCTGTTTTTGAAAGAAACCAACTGCCCATCTAAGCTTAAACTCTTCCTTCCTCCTTCATTTCCTCCTATGCCAGGGAAGAGTTTGGTATACAAACAGGCCCAGTCTAGCAGAATGTGAATTATTTGTAACTTCTTTTAAAAAGCTCATGTGTCATTTCAATGGATATATTTATAGTAGATACTTACATATTAGGATTATAGTTAGATGGCTGAGTGTGGTGGTATGTGCTTATAGTCCCAGCTACTCTGGAGGCTGAGGTAGGAGGATCACTTGAACCCAGGAGTTTGAGGCTGTGATCACACCTGCAGATAGCCATTGTACCCCAGCCTGGGCAATATAGTGAAATCGCGTCTCTTAAAAAATACATATTATTAAGACTGGGAAGAAAAAGAGATGTAATAGAAAAAAATATATATATTATTAGATGAAGAAAAGAAAGTTTATGAAGCCTCTATACTACATACATCCTCCCTCCCTCTTGCCCTAGAGTTAAATTTCTTGAGGGCAGGGACCCTGTTTCTCCTGTGTCCTTACCACTTAGCACAGTGCCTGACACAAAAAAGTACTTAATAATCTCTTAGTTGCATGAATAAATACAAAGTAGAACTCAGTACAGTGCATATTGACCTTAAATTCCAGCTAAGGGAGCTGTTTATTCATTCGAGTGGTCGTTTATATGTCCTAGAAAACATATTTTTGTTTAAACATTTTTGGACTTAATTTAGCTCCCAAAAGTCCTCATTTTAACGTAACCTCATTAAACCATGATCTTAAAAAATCCAATTGACAGTATAATAAAGTACTAGTGGCCAGGTGCGGTGGCTCACGCCTGCAATCCCAGCACTTTGGGAGGCTGAGGCTGGTGGATCACGAGGTCAAGAGATCGAGACCATCCTGGTCAACATGGTGAAACCCCATCTCTACTAAAAATGCAAAAATCAGCTGGGCGTGGTGGCACTCGCCTGTAGTCCCAGCTACTCAGGAGGCTGAGGCAGGAGAATTGCTTGAATCCAGGAGGCGGAGGTTGCGGTGAGCGGAGATCGTGCCATTGCACTCCAGCCTGGGTAACAAGAGCGAAACTCTGTCTCAAAAATAATAATAATAATAATAAAGTACTAGTTATATGCATAGAAATGAAGGATATGCATGACAGACATTACGCAGTAATTTTTAATAAATTATCCCTTTAGGCCAAGCCCAGTGGCTCACATCTATAATCCCAGCACTTTAGGAGGCTGAAACAAGAGGATCACGTAAGCCCAGGAATTAGAGACCAGCACTTGGGCAACATAAGGAGACACCCTGCCTCTACAACAAATTAAAAAAAATAGCCAGGTGTGGTCATTTGTGCCTATAGTCCCAGCTGCTCAGGAGGCTGAAGTGGGAGGATCACTGGAGCCTAGGAGGTTCATACTGCACTGAGCTGTGATTGTGCCACTGCCCTCCAGCCTGAGTGACAGACCAACACCCTGTCTCAAAAAAAATTAATAAAATAAATTGTCTTTAAATCCAAAAGTGAACTAGATTGGAAATAAATTTTTTAGTAGAACTTTTATTTATTTCTTCCAATTCCTGCCTTTCTCTTTTGCAGGGAAATCGTGATGAAAACCAGAGTGTAAACCACCAAATGGCTCAGGAAGATGCTCAACGTCTCTATCAAGCTGGTGAGGGGAGGCTAGGGACCGATGAATCTTGCTTTAACATGATCCTTGCCACGAGAAGCTTTCCTCAGCTGAGAGCTACCATGGAGGCTTATTCCAGGGTATGAGCTTTTCTTTTGAAGATTTGGTTTCTGTTTTAAGATGCAAAAATATTTATCCCTTTAATTTTGTTTACAGATGGCTAATCGAGATTTGTTAAGCAGTGTGAGCCGTGAGTTTTCCGGATATGTGGAAAGTGGTTTGAAGACCATCTGTAAGATATTTTTGTGCTTTGCTCTATTTTGTTTTCAAATGAGTGGGAACTTTGAATAGTTGTTTCCTAATGATATAGTCTAAGTGGAATCTGCTTAGGCAGTAGCTGAACTAATCCTTTGGTTTTTGTTTGTTTTTTGTTTTTTTCCCAAAAAAAGAAAACTCGAAAGGATTTATTACACAAACCCCTAGAAACAATCCTTTGTCTTTATTTGCAATTTCCTAGGGGTGGTGGTGCTGTGATCAAATAGGGCTGTTTTGGGATGATTATTTGGCCTTCATTCTGTAGGCTGTTCTTGAGGACTGTGCAAGAATACCTGACAGTTGCAGTACTTCTTTTAAAGAGAAAGGGAAAGCCCCAAGGAACTCACAGCATCACCGTGAAACAGTTTGAGCCGTCAGAACAGACCTTTCAAGTGCTCAGCCCAGTGAGACTCTTTTCCTTTTTGAAGTTAAACAACCAATTTCTGGTGGTCTAATACACAGATGTCTAACAAAGTGAAAGTTTCATTCTGTTGGGTATTAGGACTAAAGGGAGTATTAGTAACACATTGGTATTAACAGTGGAATGTTGGGCTGGGCGTGGTGGCTCACATCTGTAATCCCAGCACTTTGGGAGGCCAAGGTGGGCAGATCACGAGGTCAAGAGATCCAGATCATCCTGGCCAACATGGTGAAATGTTGTCTCTACTAAAAATACAAAAAATTAGCCGGGTGTGGTGGTACATGCCTGTAGTCCCAGCTACATGGAGGCTGAGGGAGGAGAATCATTTGATCCTGGGAGGCGGAGGTTGCAGTGAGCCAAGAGCACACCACTGCACTCTAGCCTGGCGACAGTTTGAGACTCCATCTCAAAAAAAAAAAGGAATGTCTTAGAATATTAATACAGGAATTGTAGTGAAAGCAAAAATGCATGGGTAGAACATCTCTGTCATCTGTAGGAGGAGACTTTGCTAAGTGAATTTGAATTTTTCAAACAAAACCTGTCAGATTTCTGAGAATCTTTTTGAAATCTTTGCTCTAATCTGTGTTTTCTCTTTTAAAGAGTTTTATCTTTCAGCTGAATGATATTCTTGACTTCTGGAATTCAGATTTTGTCATAATTGTTCCTTTAGTAAGATACTACTGGAGCACAGATGCTATAGATTTTCAGTTTAAGGAGAAAAAATTAGAATCAAAGCCATTGCAACTATGGAGAGACAAGAGGATTTCTAGGCTAGAGGGAATCTCCTAGAATTGAAGGTAGTTTATCTGATGCAGCTAGAAAGATTGTTGAATACTTTAAAAAAAAAAGCAAGGGCGGGGAGCTCAGTCATGATGGCTCATCCCTGCAGCACTTTGGAAGACTGAGGCGGAAGGATCACTTGAGTCCAGGAGTTGGAGACTAGCCTGGGCAACATAGTGAGACTATGTCTCTACAAATATTAATAATAAACAAAATTATCTGGGTGTGGGGGCACACACCTATAGTCCCAGCTACTTAGAAGGCTGAGGTGGGAGGATTACCTGAGTCTGGGAGGCTGCAGTGAGCCATGTTTGCACCACTGCACTATAGGCTGGGTGACAGAGTGAGAACTTGTCTCAAAAAAAAAAATCGAGGAGGAGAACATCTGAACATCTTTAACTTACCTCACGTTTCTGGGATGATTATAGAGAAAATAATGAAAGGCAGGCTAGAAGTGATAAATGAAGCTGAAGGGGTACACTTCTTGTCAGATCATGAGTCCATGTCTCAACCGTCTCTGTTTTGCAGTGCAGTGTGCCCTGAACCGCCCTGCCTTCTTTGCTGAGAGGCTCTACTATGCTATGAAAGGTGCTGGCACAGATGACTCTACCCTGGTCAGGATTGTGGTCACTCGAAGTGAGGTGAGACGGGCGTTTCTCTTTTTGTTGGGTCTTACTTGATGTTCGTTGTTGATTTCTTAAAAGTTCCTCAGTTGGATGTCAGTCCCTCAAAAATGGTAAGAGTTCTCTTTGCACTGCTAAAAGAGGTGGTATAAAGGACAGAAAATTCATTTTCCTTATGCTGTGGGAGAAGCTTGCATTAGTGAAAGAGGCCACTCTGCCCTAGTGAAGACAGTACTACCAGATTTTACGACTTGAGAAGGTCTATGGAGAATACAAAGTTACGGGAAGTTAGACATTTATCTTTTGATTTTCGTGTTGCTTATATAAAAAGTATATGAAAGACCTATGTAGATTAATCCTATTGGATATCAACAATATTTAAATTTAGCATTCCTTAATAATAAAACCATTTTTAAAATACTCATCTATTTATTTATTTTATTTATTTTTATTTATTTATTTATTTTTTAAGATGGGGTTTCACCATGATGGCCAGGCTGGTCTTGAACTCCTGACCTCAGGTGATCCACCCACCTCTGCCTCCCAAAGTGCTAGGATTACAGGTGTGAGCCACTGAGCCTGGCCTCATCATCTCTTTAAATATAGCCTCATTTTTAATTTTTTTCTTTATATATATACACTGCACTTTTTAAAAATTCCTTTTTTTTTTTTCTCAGAAGAAATGACATTTGAACTTTTTTTTTTTTTTTTTTTTTAAGACATGGTCTCACTGTGTTACCCAGACTGGAGTGCAGTGGCACAATCTCAGCCTACTGCAACCTCCACCACCTGGGTTTCAGCAGTTCTACCACCTCAGCCTCTTGAGTAACTGGGACTGCAGGTTTGCACCACCACGCCCAGCTGTTTTTGTATATTTTGGTAGAGATGGGATTTTACCATGTTGGCCAGGCTGGTCTTGAACTCCTGACCTCAAATGATCCACCTGCCTCAGCCACCATGCCCGGCCTTAATTCAACGAAAACATAGTGGGGTGTAGTGGCTCATGCGTATAATTTCAGCACTTTGGGAGGCTGAGTCGAGAGGATTGCTTGAGCCCAGGAATGTGAGACCAGCCTGGGCGACATGGTGAAACTTATTTTTACAGAAAATACACACACACACACACACACACACACACACCCACACACACCACACACCACACACACCACACACACCACACACCACACACCCCACACCCCACACACACCACACACACCACACACCACACACACACACACATGCGACATGGTGAAACTTATTTTTACAGAAAATACACACACACACCCCACACACACCCCACGCCCCCCCCCCACCCCCACCCCCCACACACATACACACACAATTAGCTGGCCATGGTAGTCCCAGCTACCCAGGATGTTGAGGTGGAAGGATCACCTGAGCCCACGAGGTCAAGGCTGCAGTGAGCCACGATTGCAACACTGCACTCCAGCCTGGGTAACAGGGACCCTATGCCAAAAAAACCGTAAATTAAAGAAGGTAGATCGTTTTTAAAGAAAACAACTAGAATGTGGTATTTTGAAAAAAACTTTGTATTTGTTCTTTAACTTAAATTTTCTAAGCATGATGTTTTAAGTTGTGATAAAATATACATAACATAAAATTTACCATTTTTAAGTAGCATTAAGTACATTTACATTGTTATGCAACATCACTACCATTCAACTTCAGAAGTTTTTTCAACTTGCAAAACTGAAAATCCATACTCATTAAACAATAGCTCTTCATTCTTCTTTCTCCCAACCGCTGGAAACAAACCATGTGATTTTCTGTTCCTATATTTGACTACTTTAGGTACATATATTGGTGGAATCATACAATATTTGTCTTTTTGTGAATGTCGTCTTTTACTTAGCATAACATCTTCAAGGACTATTCATGTTGTAGCATGTCAGAATTTTTTTCTTGAGACTAAGAGTCCATTGTGTGTGTATCTCACCTTTTGTTTTCTTATTCATCTGTGACACTTGGGTTCTACCTAGATAATGCTGCTGTGAACATGGGTGTACAAATACCTGTTCAAGTCTACTTTCACTTCTTTTGAATATATCCAGAAGTGGAATTTCTAGGTCATATTGTAATTCTTTGGAAGTTTTTGTTTTGTTTTGAGGAATTACCATATTATTTTCCTCAGCAGTTGCACCATTTTACTTTTCCATCGATCAGTGCAGAAGTGTTCCTATTTCATGACATCCTTGCCAATACTTAACTATTTTTTTATTTTTTATAATAGCCATCCTATCAAATGGTTTTTAAATGACTAATATCTTTGGAATAATAGATGAAACTAGTACCACCCTTATCCAGGATTTTACAGAGCTGTGAATCAGACCTTCATTGGGTAGAGCTAGCATTGGTATGAACACCAGCCATAAAATGTCAGTCACTTGGTGTTTTCCCCCCTCAGCTTTGATTACTATTAAGATCTTATTGTATAAAAAGAATTGTAGTAAGTGCCATTTATCACGGATGTTTTTCTAACATCAGAAATGTTATTTCTCATGCAGATTGATCTTGTACAAATAAAACAAATGTTCACTCAGATGTATCAGAAGACCCTGGGCACAATGATTGCAGGTGACACGAGTGGAGATTACCGAAGACTTCTTCTGGCTATTGTGGGCCAGTAGGAGGGATTTTTTTTTTTTTTTTAAATGAATGAAGCTATTCATAGCTTATCCTTCAGAGCAATGACCTGCATGCAGCAATATCAACCATCAGCTAACCAAAAGAGCTTTCTATCAAGGACCATATCAGGGTAATGTGCTTGGTTTGCACATGTTGTTATTGCCTTAATTCTAATGTCATTTTGTTCTCTACGTATAATCAATGTAAAGCCATATCACAATGATACAGTAATATTGCAGTGTTTGTAAAGCTTCATTCTTACTAGTTTCATTCTAATCAAGATGTCAAATTGAATAAAAAAATCACAGCAATGTCTAATTCTGTGTAATAATACTGAATAATTTTTTAGGTTGCTGAAATCTCTGCCTTCCAGAATCCCTCTAGGTCTGTTTGATAGAGTGGGTAGTATATCATAACTGTGTACTTTTAAAAAATTCATCCCTTTACATCTAGAAGAATAATTTGCATCTTATTTTGCATAAATTTGTTCTATATTCACAAACACTTTCCACATAGAAAATAGATTAGTATTACTGTAGCACCTTTTAAGAAAGGGTCATATGTTTATATGCTTAAAATAAATAGCTTACTTTTTTTTTTCCAGTTGTTTTCTTTTTTTAAATTGAGTTATGACAAATAAAAAATTGCATATATTTAAGGTGTACAATATGGTCTTTTGCTATCAGCATTCCTTGTTTAGTGATTTCATAATTAAGGTCAGGCTAATTACGTATCTGTCACCTTGACATAGTTACCATTTTTTTCGTGTGTGGTGAAAACACTTACGATCTATTAACTTAGCAAATTTCAAGTGTTCAATACATTATTAACTATAGATACTATGCTTTACATTAAATCTCTAGAACTTACTCATCTTATAACTGAAAGTTTATACCCTTTGACCAACATCTCCCCATTTCCCCACCTCTCTCTCTAGCAACCACAACTTTTAAGTTCAGCTATTTTAGATTCCACATATAAATGGTATGTAATATTTCTCTTTCTGTATCTGGCTTATTTCTCTTAGCGTAATGATCTCTAAGTTTATAGTTCACATTGTCACAAATGGCAGAATTTCCTTTTTTTTTTGAGTGAGAGTTTCTCTCGTCCAGGCTGGAGTGCAGTGGCATGATCTCAGCTCACTACAACCTCCGCCTCTCAGGTTCAAGCAATTCTCCTGCCTCAGCCTCCCAAGTAGCTGGGATTACAGGCATCTGCCACACCTGGCTAATTTTTTGTTTAGTAGAGATGGGGTTTCACCAGCTTGGCCAGGCTGGTCTCGAACTTGTGATCTCAGTTGATCCACCTCCCAAAGTGCATGGATTACAGGTGTGAGCCACCGTGGCTGGCCAAAATTTTCTCCTTTAAGCCTGAATAATACTCCATTGTGTATATATACTATAATTTCTTTCTCCATTTATCCATCAATGGACACTTGAGTAGTTTCCATATATGGATTATTGTGAATAATGCTGCAGTGAACATGGGAGTGAAGATACCTCTTTATGATGCTGATTTCATTTCCTTCAGATACATACCCAGAAATGATATTGCTGGGTCATATTATTTTTAATATTTCGAGAAACCTCCATACTATATTCTATAATGGCTATGCTAAGTTACCTTCCCACCAACAGTGTATAATGGTTCCCTTTGCTCCATATTCTTGCCATCTTGTTAATGTTTTACCTTTTTGATAATACCCAACCTAACAGGTGAAAATACCATGTGTACTTGAGAAGAATGTGTATGCTACCATTGTTTAAAGATAGAGTGTAGAGTGTTCTGTATGTGTCCATTAGGTCTAGTTTATTGTGTTAAGTCCTCTTTTTCCTTACGTCTGATTCTTCTATCCATTATTGAGAATGGGGTGTTGAAGTCCCCAGCTACTGTTGTAAAACCGTTTCTCCCTCAGTTTTTGCTTCATATATTTAGGTGGTCTGTTATTAGGAGTGTAAATGTTCGTAATTGTCATATATTCTTGCAGTATTGAATTTATTATTATTATATAATGTTCTTTGTCCCCTATGACCTTTTTTTTTGAGATGGAGTCTCACTCTGTTGCCCAGGCTGGAGTGCAGTGGCATGATCTTGGCTCACTGCAACCTCTGCCTTCTGGGTTCAAGCAGTTCTCCTGCCTCAACCTCCTGAGTAGCTGGGATTACAGGTGCCTTCCACCACGCCTGGCTAATGTTTGTATTTTTAGTAGAGACAGGTTTTCACCATGCAGGCTGATCTTGAACACCTAACGTCAGGTGATCTGCCCACCTTGGCTTCCCAAAGTGCTGGTATTATAGGCGTGAGCCACTGCACCTGGCCCCATGACCTTTTTTGATTTAAAGTCTATTTTGTCTGATATTACTATAGCCTCCCCTACTCTCTTTTGGTTACTATTTACATGGAGTCTCTTTTAATCTTTTAACTTTTAATCTGTTTATGTATTTTGATCAAACATGAGTCTTTTGTACACAGCATAAAGTTGGATTTTGAAAAATCCATTTTGCCAGTCTTTCTCTTTTGATTAGAAAGTTTAATCCCAGGCCGGGCATGGTGGCTCAAGCCTGTAATCTCAGCACTTTGGGAGGCCGAGGTGGGTGGATCACGAGGTCAAGAGATCGAGACCATCCTGGTCAACATGGTGAAACCCCGTCTCTACTAAAAATACAAAAAATCAGCTGGGCATGGTGGTGCGTGCCTGTAATCCCGGCTACTCAGGAGGCTGAGGCAGGAGAATTGGCTGAACCCAGGAGGCGGAGGTTGTGGTGAGCTGAGATCACGCCATTGCACTCCAGCCTCGGTAACAAGAGCAAAACTCTGCCTAAAAAACAAAACAAAATAAAACAAAACACAAAGTTTAATCCCAGCTGGGCTTGGTGGCTCACACCTGTAATCCCAGCACTTTGGGAGGCTGAGGTGGGTGGATTATTTGACATCAGGAGTTCCAGACCGGTGTAGCCAACATGGTTGAGACCCCTGCCTCTAATAAAAATACAAAAATTAGCCGGGTGTGGTGGGGCGCACCTATAATCCCAGCTACTCGTGAGGCTCAGTTGGGAGAACTGCTTGAACCCAGGATGTAGAGGTTGCAGTTAGCTGAGATCATGCCACTACAGTCCAGCCTGGGTGACAGAGTGAGACTGTCTAAAAAAAAAAAAAAGAAAATGTAATCTATTTACATTTAAAGTAATTACTGTTAAGAACTTCTGTTACTATGCTATTTGTTCTCCACATGCCTTATTGCTTTTTTGTCCCTCATTTCCTGCATGACTGTCTTTTGTGTTTAGTTGTTTTGTAGTAAAACATTTAAATTCATTTCCCTCTGTTTTGTCTATATTCTGTAGCTATTTTCTTCGTGTGTGTTCGTGTCTTTTTTTTTTTGGAGGCAGGGTCTTCTCCGTCACCCAGGTCGGAGTGCAGTGGTGGAATCACTGCTTACGGCAGCCTTGGACTCAAGCGTTCCTCCTGCCTCAGTGTCACAAGTAGCTGGGACTACAGGCTCTTGCTACCACACCAAGCTAATTTTCAATTTTTTTGAAGAGACAGGGTTTCATGTTGCTCCAGGCTGGTAACTCCTAGACTCAAGCAATCCACTTGCCTCGGCCTCCCAAAGTGCTGGGATTACAGGTATGTGCCACCACACCCAACCTGTGTCTTAGTTTTTGGTTTTTTGTTTTTGTTTTTTTTTTTTTTTTTTGAGAAATGTTAAGTTACTGTCTTAGTTTTTAACAAAAAAGCTCAAAAAGTAAAAAATACTTTTTAAAATAAAAAGCTTGTAAGGACATAAAATATTTTTGTATAGCTATAAGAGTCAAAAAGTTGCCGGGCGCGGTGGCTCAAGCCTGTAATCCCAGCACTTTGGGAGGCCGAGGCGGGTGGATCATGAGGTCAAGAGATCGAGACCATCCTGGTCAACAAGGTGAAACCCCGTCTCTACTAAAAATACAAAACATTAGCTGGGCATAGTGGCACGTGCCTGTAATCCCAGCTACTCAGGAGGCTGAGGCAGGAGAATTGCCTGAACCCAGGAGGTGGAGGCTGCGGTGAGCCGAGATCGCGCCATTGCACTCCAGCCTGGGTAATGAGCGAAACTCCGTCTCAAAAAAAAAAAAAAAAAAAAAAAAAAAAAAAAGAGTCAAAAAGTTAAGTTTAGGCTGGGTGTGGTGGCTCATGCCTGTAGTCTCAGCACTTTGGGAGGCTGAGGCAGCTAGATCACTTGAGCCCAAGAGTTTGAGACCAGTCTGAGCAACATGATAAAACCCCATCTCTACAAAAAATAGAAAAATCAGCTGGTTATGATGGTGCAGTCTTGTAGTCCCAGCTACTTGGGAGGCTGAGGCAGGAGGTTTGCTTGAGTCCAAGGAGATCGAGGCTGCAGTAAGCCATGATCATGCCACTGCACTCCAGCCTGGGTGACAGAATGAGACCCTGTCTCCAAGGGAAAAAAAGGACACTTAGGAAGCAAAAACCTTGCAGTAAGCTAAAGTAAATTTTATTATTGAAGTTTTAAAATAAATTTAGTGTAGCCTAACATAGTGTTTATAGTCTGCAGTAATGTACAGTAATGTCCTAGGCCTTCACAATTCACTTGCTACTCATTCCCTCATTCACCCAGAGCAACTTCTAGGCCAGTAACTGCCATTCATTATGAGTGCCTGCTACGGGTGTTCTATTTATTTCTTATACCATATTTTTACTGTCTTTTTCTATGTTTAGATACACAAGTACTTAACTGTTGTGTTACAGTTGCCTACAGTATACAGTATAGTAACATGCCATACCCATTTGTAGCCTAGGAGCAATAGGATATATGACTTAGGTATGTGGTAGGCTATGCTATCTAGGTTTGTGTAGATACACTGTTTGCATTTCCCTCATGTTTAGTGATGTTGAGCATGTTTTCATATATCTGTTGGCCATTTCTATACTTTCTTTTGAGAACTGTCTAGCTCTTTTGCCCATTTAAAAATCAGATTATTTGTGGGTTTTTTTTTTGGGGGGGTGTTGAGTTTCTTACATATTCTAGATGTTAACCCCTTGTCAGATACATAGTTTGTAAATATTTTCTCCCGTTCTGTACACTGTCTCTTCAATCTGTTGATTGTTTCCTTTGCTGTGCAGAAGCTTTTTAGTTTGATGTCATCCCATTTGACTATTTTTGTTTTGCTGCCTGTGTTTTGAGGTCTTATCCAGAAATTCCTTGCTCAGACCAACATCAAAGCATTTTTCCTATGTTTATTTCTAATAGTTTCATAGTTTCAGGTCTTACGCTTAAAGCTTTTATCCATTTTGAGGCTATTTTTGTAAATGGTGATAGGGATCTAGTTTTTTTCTTCTGCATGTGGCTAGTCAGTTTTTGTGATACATCATGCAAACTGAAGGAAGGATAAAAACCATATGATCATTTCTATATATGCAGAAAAAGGACTTGGTAATGTTCAATATCCCTTCATGACCAAACAAAACGAAACTCTCAACAAAATAGATACGGAAGGAACATACCTCAGTACAATAAAGTCCATGTATGACAGACCCACAGCTAACATGCTGAATGAGGAAATGTTGAAAGCTTTTTCTCTAAAATCTGGTACAAGATGAGGATACCCACTTTCACTACTTCTATTCAACATAGTACTGGAAGTCCTAGCCAGAGTTATTAGGCAAGAGAAAGAAAGGGCATCTAAATTGGAAGGAAGTCAGATTTCCTGTCTGCATAAGATGACATGATCTTATACACAGAAAACCCTAGATTCCACCAAAAACTGCCAGAAGTAATCAATAAAGCTTCAGGATACAAAAGCAACATACAAAAATAAGTAGCATTTCTATATGCCAATAGTGAACTATCTGAAAAAGAAATCCAAAATGCAATCCCATTCACAACTGCTACAAAAAAAAAAAAAAAAAAAAACCCTAGGAAGTTTTAACCAAGGAAGCAAAACATCTCTGCAATGAAAACTACAAAACGCTGATGAAAGAAATTGAAAAAGACACAAATAGTATCCTATGTTCATGGATTAGAATAATTAATATTGTTAAAATGTTCATACTTCCCAAAGTGATCTACAGATTCAGCACAATCTCTATCAATATGCCAATGATATTCTTCACAGAAATAGAAAACTCTAATATTTGTAGTTTTAGTTCTTTAAGTCATTGATCCATTTTGAGTTATTTTTTTGTGTATGGTGTGAGGTAAGGGTCCAACTTCATTCTTTGCATGTGGACATTGTTTTTCCTTGTACCATTTGTTTAAAAGACTATATTGCCCTCCCAACCCATTAGACTGTCTTGGCACTTTTGTTAAAAAATCAGTTGATCATAAATGTAAGAGTTTCTGAACTCTCATTTCAATTGATTCTTTATGTCTATCTTTATGCCTTTATTATTGTCTTGATTACTTGATTACTGCAGCTTTATAGAAAGTTTTGAAATTTGGAAGTGTGAGTTTTCTGACTACTCTGAGTCCCTTGCATTTCCATATGCATTTTAGGATCAGCTTGTAAAAAAAAAGAAAAAAAAAAGTTTGTATTTTAATAGTGATTGCTTTCAATCTGTAGATCAGTTTGAGGATGAGCAATACTATTTGATTTTATTATTGAGTGTCAGCAATGCATTGACTTCTGAAGTAACAAATTAGCTAATTAGAAACAAGCCTTTTAGAGTTGGAAAGGAACTTGTTGAGCTAGTGCATCATTTAGTGGAGGGAGGCCTTTGAAACTCAGACTAAGGCATTTGAATTTTATTAGAGATTAATTTTTTTAAATTTTATTTATTTTTTAAAGATGGAGTTTCACCATGATGGCCAGGCTGGTCTTGAACTCCTGACCTCAGGTGATCCACCCACCTCAGCCTCCCAAAGTGCTAAGATTACAGGTGTGAGCCACCGTGCCTGGCCCAATTAGAGATTTTTATAGTTTTTTTCCCTTAAATTGTTCTACATATGTAGGTGATTTTGTTACGATTCCAGTACTATTATATTTTCCATTGCACTAAAGAGGGCTTTTTCCACACACAAGTGGATAATTTAAATCAGTAAAAAGTCTCAAACACCTTTCAAACAGAGTAGCCACTGCTAACCACTGTAGGAAAATAAAAGAACTGTAACACACACACGTGTGTGCGCACGCACGTGTGGGAGGCTGAGGTGGGAGGATCGCATGAACCTGGGAGGTGGAGGTTGCAGTGAGCCGAGATCATGCCACTGCACTCCACAGCAAGACTGCCTCATTAAAAAAAAAAAAAAAGGCTGGGCGTGGTGGCTCACGCCTGTAATCCCAACACTCAACACTTCGGGAGGCCAAGGTGGGTGGATCACCTGAGGTTAGAAATTAAAGACCAGCCTGGCCAACATGGTGAAACCCCGTCTCTACTAAAAATACAAAAATTAGCCAGGCGTGGTGAATGGCGCCTGTAATCCCAGCTACTTACTTAGCTAAAGCACCAAGAATCGCCTGAACCCGGGAGGTTGAGGTTGCAGTGAACCCACATTTCACCACTGCACTTCAGCCTGGGCGGCAGAGCAAGTCTCCGTCCTAAAAAAAAAATTGTAACAGACAGCCCTTGCTCTCAGGCACCCTACAGTTGAATGGAGAATTACGTTTAAGGAAGTGACACCTGTTATTTATCCTTGCTTGCCTAAGACTTTGAAGCAAAGTACTAAGTAGACCAAGATCATGAGTTATTTCTGGAAGAACAGGTCCCTATTGAAGATTTGGCCCTAACCCCAACCTATTATGTAGAAAACATGTGTCATGTGCAAGTGGGATAGCTGTCTCAGTGCAAATTCATCCACAACAGTCACTTGAGAAAAAATCCAGAGAGAAACGCCTTAGCAGTGCCATAGTAGTTTCATTTTGAGAAACTTTATTACCTGTAACACTGCAACTTTCAAAAAATATTTCTCATATCATTGTAATGCTTATTAGTAGAAATAACAATTATTTTAAAATTTGATTCTAGTAACTATATCCTAGGCAAAGCTTCTCGGGGAGAGTGGTTATGTGTGTGTATATATTTTAATAATTTGTTTTGCAATTATCTCAAATTATAGAAAAATTGCCCAAACAGTGCAAGGAAGTCCCATGTCCCCTTCACCCAGATTCCCAAATAGTTAACACTTTATTGCACTTGTTTCATTGCTCACTGTGTATGTGTGCATGTGTGCAGTGTACATGTGTATGTATCCATTGTTAGTCTTTTTCTGGACATTTTGAGAGTCAAGAGAGCATATTGAAGAGATAGTGTCTCATCACTCCTAAACACACCAGTGTGTATTTCCCCCTAAACAGGGACACTTTCCTACCTAAAAACAAACTTCCACATCAGAAAATCAATATTGGTACAACACTACCATCCAATTCAGATGAGATCAGGCACATTCAGAGTGGTATGCGATTCACAGAACTAATTAACATTTTACCCAAGTGTCCTAACAATGTCATTTTCCTTTCTGGTCCAAAATGCTATACAGAGATACATATTGCATTTAGTTGTGATATAGCATCAGTCAGAGACAGTTCCCAGTCTTTCCTGTCTTTGGATGGTCCACAACCTGAGTTCTTTTGATGGTAGGAAAACCAAAAAGGATGCTTTGTGTTTTTTTAGTGTGCTTCACCAGGAGGCTCACAATGTAGACTCCTACCAACACTGGTGATGTTAACCATGATCACCTGATCATGTTGGTTGCCTCCATTCACAGTTTCCCCCCCTGTAATGAGTAATATTCCCTGGGAGAAGCATTCCAAAATCACATCAATATTCCATGCCTCATAGAACATCTACCCACCAGCCTTATCGTTCATTGAAGAGTCCTGCCTGAATCATCCTCCTTAGTAGTTGTCAAATGGTAGTTCTGTATTTCCATCCTTCTCTCTACACTTCTGGGTTGACATCCTGCTGTAGAAAGAGTTTTCCTTTTTCTCTGTATCAACGCGGACTTGCATATTCCTATTTTATTCAATGGGTTGTAATCCATTATTGTCGTTGTTTACTTTCATGCTCCAATTGTCCCTCATTTGGCCCATGGGAGTTCCTTCAAGCTGGTTTTTAACACCGCAACATTTTAAAGTATGTATATATATATTCCCAAAATTCATCCATGTTGTGTGTGTCGCTGCAGTTCATTAACGTTGATGGTTTGTAATATGCCATTTTGTGAATATACCACAGTTTGTTGGTCCACTCTTCCACTATTCCGTCGACGGGCACGTGAGTTGTTTCCAGGTTACTTGCTATCGTGTTTTGCTATTCTAGCTCTTTAATGTTAAATTTTGAATGCATTAAAATTTGCATTAACATCACAAATTTCAGGTCTGTTTATTGTACAAATATTGAGAACCTAGAAGCAAGGTCATTTTGTACTCCCATCAACAGTGCATGACGAGCTCATTTGAGAAATACTGTCTTACTGCGTATTTCACGGAGAAATACTTAAATGATGTTTTCGAATCCCTTTAACAAAGGCCTTTTTCTTTAAATAAGTTTCCTTTTGTTGTTTTCCCTTTTATTATGGAGAAATATTGAAATAAAAGAGTCGAGAAAGCAAAACGTAAAGGTGAAAACCTGCCCTTAACCCAGACTCTTGCCAAGTTAAAGCAAACGCGGAAACAACAGGAATTCGAAGGGAGGCGGCTGTAGCCGACGCCAGGGCGCAGGCGCAGAAACTCAGCGTCCTGCTCCGAGTCTCAGAAAGTTATCGCGAGTCTTGGAATAAGCTTGCTGCGATTGCCAGAAGTAAGTTCCCGCGAGAGGTAGTTGGTTGCTATAGTTGTCAAAAACGGAACTGCGGCTGCCGCAGGTAAGACAGGGACGCCTCCTGAGAAAACCCTCCCTTCCCCGCCTTCCCACTCCGGCCCCGCGGCCACACCACCCCGGTCACCCCTCTCTCAGGTAAAGCCAGGCTGAAAACCCCGTTATTTAGACCGAAAAGCCGCTGCTGGCTCGGCTAGTTGCAGACGACTCTGCCGCCGGCCCCAGCCCCGCGACCCCCGCAGGATCGCGGACGTAGACCCGGCTTTTCCGCTTCTCGTCGTAGGCCCCCTCAGTCCGCGCTGACTGTGCCTGTCCCCAGGCCAAATCCAGTCACATCACCTCCTTCGTCTAACGTTTTTCTCACTGGACTCTCCCCTTGCAGCTTCTTCCGAGCAGATGACAAGAAACGCATGCCTTGCCGGCGGCAAACGGAGTCCCACACCCTAGCTGCACTGACCATAACTTTAGTCCTATTTTTTGCATTCATAGTTTAAACACTACCCGAACGCCTCTTTGTGTAGACATAGTGCCAGGAACTCGGGGTCCGTAAATATACACGAGATAGGTTACATGTCTTCAAGGGTGTAATTGATCTCTCAGGAAAAACGCTGCATATTATTAATACCATTTGTGCAGTGCTTCATAGCTTAAACAGCCTTAATATCTTAGGGGATATTCACAACAAATGTGAAACAGATTGAAAGTTATATTATCCATTTTACAGAAGGTGAAACTGAGTCTTAGAGAAGTTAGGCATTTGCCCAGGGACGCATAGCTATTAAGTAGGAAATGCCTTTTGAATCCCCAGTCTTCATAAACAGGACAGCTTGTGGTAATGCCAGGAGAAATGTAAAGTGCTAACTGAATTCAGAGGAAAGGCAAGCTTTTCCAGCTGAGAAGCTTCATAGACTAGGAAGCATTTGAGCTGGATCTTAAAGAATGAGTAGGATTTGCTGTAGAGACGGAGTGAGGAGAAAGGAAGAGAGAATTCCAGGGGGAAGGAAAAACGCAGAGGTTCCAAACTGACTAAATGCAGGTAATCTTTGAAAAATACTAAGCAAGAGCATACTAGAAGAGGGGAGAAGTTGACTGGCACTGCAAGATCCTAGAAAGCCCTGAATGTAGTACTACATTTAACTGCAGTTAAACTGTAGTGTTAACAGTTTATTTGGTAGATGAGAGGGAACAAGACAGTGATATTCAGATCTGTACTTTAATAAGGTATTTAACTGCTTGTCTCTTCTCATTTTCTCCCAATTTCTAATTACGCCACACTCCAAGCCTACTAAGCTACTCGCTCTCGCTCTCTCTCTCTCTGTCTCTCTCTCTCTTTCTTTCTCCCTCTCCCCCCTCTCTCTCTGTGTGTGTGTGTGTCGTTTTGCTTCTGAGCCTTTTTTTTTTTTTTTTTTTTTTTGAGACAGAGTCTTGCTCTGTTGCCGAGGCTGGGGTGCAGTGGCGCGATCTCCGTTCACTGCAACTTCCACCTCCCAGGTTCAAGCAATTTCCCTGCTTCAGCCTCTCGAGTAACTGGGATTACAAGTGCACGCCACCACCCTCGGCTAATTTTTTGTTGTTAGTAGAGACGGGGTTTCACTATGTAGGCCAGACTGGTCTTGAACTGAGGCAATCTGCCCACCTCAGCCTCCCAAAGTGCCGAGATTACAGGCATAAGCCACCGCGCCCGCCCAGCCTCTGAACCTTTTAAAATCTGTTCCCTTTCTTGGAATATCCTTCACTTTAGTCTATGAAGACATAGTTCCAGGGTACTTCCTCCAAGATTTTCCTGGCATACACATGTATTCTCAAATCCAGCCAGGTCCCAGCTTCATTCAGCACTTCCTTGCTGTATGACTGATGGTAAGACAACAAATTTCTCTGAAACTCAGTTTTTTTCACGCAAATAGAGATTTAAGAATCACCTAGAAGGGAGGCCACATGTAAGATAATAAATGTGAAGCACACTTGGTACACTGGCTGTAATCAGTTAATTTCTTTGCTTCACTCATTCTTTATATTTTTAAGAGGAAAAAAGTTAATTTTCACCCACTCTTCCTTGCTGTGTGTTTCACTCCTCCATCTTTCCTCTGTCAGAGCACCTATCACACAGATTATGACTCCTGGTCTAGTTACATGTCTCTCGTCCTCACTAGACTTTAAATTTCTGAGGTTAGAGTTCACATCTTATCTCTTGTATCCTCAGCACCCACCACAGTGCCAAGCTTAATGTTTTTTCAGTGAACAATTCTGACAGAAGCAGGATGAATTAGAGTGAGAAACTGGAATCAGAGATACCAGTTAGGAGGTTTTTGTTAAGTCTAACAGAAGGGTAATGAAGGCCTAATGCCATATTATTGGAAAGGAAAGAAGACTGATACAAAAGGACATTCCAAATGTACATTTGACAAAGAAGTTGTCAGAACCATGAAAACCCTGAAAGAGCCCAGAAACATGTTTTTGAACAAGTGATCTGAGACTTTTAGGTGACTGGAAAAATGCTGGAGTAGCTGAGAAGAGGCAGAATAATTATAAAGTCTGAAGGCTGTAAGATGTTGTTTCCTTTTTTGTATCACCAAATACACTTCGCATAGTATGTCCTCCGTAAATGTTTGAATTGAATTAGAAAAGAAAACCTAATTTTTTGCAGGCACAGTGGCTCACGCCTTTTAATCCCAGCACTTTGGGAGGCTGAGGCGGGCAGATTGCTTGAGCCTAGGCGTCAAGACCAGCCTCAGCAGCATGGCAAAACCCCGTATCTATGGAAAATACAAAAATTAGCTGGGCGTGGTGGCGCATGCCTATAGTCTTAGCTACTCAGGAGGCTGAGGTGGGAGGATCACTTGAGCCTGGGATGTCGAAGCTGCAGCGAGCCATGATCGCACCACTGCACTCCAGCCTGGGTGACAGAGTGAGACCTTCAAAAAAAAAAAAAAAAAAAAAGAATAAAAGATGTTTTCTAAAGAAACAAATATCCAATTTATTTTTAAATTTGTTTTTATCCTTAGTATTGTAAAATTGGCAGTATATCTGACTAAATAAGAAATATGTCAAGACCTTTTCCAATGGACTACCATTTTACATGGCTGCTTCTGTCCTGCTCTCAAAATATATTTTTGTAAAACTGAGAAGTTAAATAATCTTAGAAGGATGCTTTGCAGATTAAAAAAAAAAAGGGATACCAGAGAACACTGTGAAGGATGTAGGGCAGCAGTCCCCAAACTTTTTGGCACCAGCGACCAGTTTTGTAGAAGACAATTTTTCTACAGACTGGGGGCAGGGAGGATGGTTTTAGGATGATTTAGCACATTACATTTATTGTGCACTTTATTATTATTAGATGGTAATATATAATGAAATATTATACAACTCACCATAATGTAGAATCAGTGGGAGCCCTGAGCTTGATTTCCTGCTACTAGACAGTCCTGTCTGGGGGTGATGGGAGACAGTGACAAATCAGACATTAGAGTCTCATAAGGAACATACAACCTAGATCCCTTGCACACAAAATGTTATAATAGGGTTCACACTCCTGTAAGAATCTAATGTTGCTGCTGATCTGATGGGAGGCAGAGCTCAAGTGGTAATGCAGGTGATGGGGAGTGGCTGTAAATAGAGATGAAGCTCTTTGCTTGTTCACCTGCTGCTCACCTCCTGCTGTGCGGCCCAGTTCTTAACAGGCCACTGGCTGGTACTGGTTCATGGCTCGGGGGCTGGGGACCCCTGATGTAGGGGATGGGAGGTCGAGGTGTTCCTACTTTGTCTTGTGATACTTTGTGCTTAATGGGTTAGTTACCTGTATAAACCATCTTTTTAGCACTATCCAGTGAAATCATCCTTGTGACCAGCTCCCTAAAGCACTGCCTATCCAGCAGCAAAGGTTGGATGTGGGGAATAAAACAGCGCTGGACTATGGTATTTCCTTAGGTTTTCCCTGATATTGGTTATGATGGAATATGGGTACTTGTGCAGCTGTAGTACATGAGGGGACAGGTTCATTCATTCTGTTTACAGAGACCAAAGAAAACCGGAGGGACTTTACCCAGTTGGTGATATGGAGCAAGTGCCATCAACAGGCAGACTCGTGCAGATCACTGTGACAGAGGGATATGATTTGGTAAAGTTACTTTTGGAAATTCACAAAATCCTTAGTTTTGGGAGTACCTGCAGAAGGAATGGACTTTTGCTTCATTCTCCTCTACCTCCAAACCTCTGGCTTTACATAGCAGTGGCCTTTTACCTCAGTGTTCCTTATTGTTAGTCTATAATCTCCAAGTCACATTACTGTGTGTCTCAAATACCTGGCAATCTGAATATTAACAGGGTGAAAGAAGCAGTGGTTTTAGTTTCCGTAGACAGCAGTTCACATGTAATTTTTTTTTTCCTTTCTCCTGAGAAGGATCTGAATTCTTCCAGAGTTTCCCTTGTGATTAATTCCGTTTGATTAGCACTTTGGAAGGTCGAGGTGGGCGGATCATGAGGTCAGGGGTTTGAGACCATCTTGGCCAACATAGTGAAACCCTATCTCTACTAAAAAAAAAAAATGCAAAAAATTAGCCAGGTATGGTGGCAGGTGCCTGTAATCCGACAGGCACCTGAATCACTTGAGGCAGGAGAGTCACTTGAACCTGGGAGGCAGGGGTTGCAGTGAGCTGAGGTCACACCACTGCATTCCAGCCTGGGAGACAGTGTGAGACTCCGTCTCAAAAAAAAAAGAAAAAAGAGAACAACAGTGTGATGTACTAAAAATTAGGAGGAAAAAAATTAGGAGTATAATAACATGGGAAAATATTCAGTATATTAAATTTAACACGATCATTCCAAAAGAGGATATAATATAATTCATGAGCTCCACTTTGTTTTAAAATTTATATATAAAAATGAATATATATGTGCATGTATGGGTACACACATGTACATCCATATATTCACAACAAAACACTAGAAAATATATTCTAAAATGTTAATAGTGCTTACATGTTAAAGTAAGATTGCAGGTAATTTTCTTTCAAAAATGTTCCTCAGCGTACTTTTATTATCAGGTGAAACAATAAATATTTAAAATGTTTAAGTCAAACTAGATTTGTTTAATGATATTTCTTTTTTTTTTTTTTTTTTTGAGACGGAGTTTCTCTCTTGTTACCCAGGCTGGAGTGCAATGGCGCGATCTCGGCTCACCGCAACCTCCGCCTCCTGGGTTCAGGCAATTCTCCTGCCTCAGCCTCCGGAGTAGCTGGGATTACAGGCACGCGCCACCATGCCCAGCTAATTTTTTGCACCTTTAGTAGAGACGGGGTTTCACCATGTTGACCAGGATGGTCTCGATCTCTTGACCTCGTGATCCACCCGCCTCGGCCTCCCAAAGTGCTGGGATTACAGGCTTGAGCCACCGCGCCCGGCGCTGTTTAATGATATTTCTGTCTATTTTGTATTTGTGATGTGGCTTGTTAGGAAAAAATGAAAAATGCTATTTAGCCCAAATCAAAATGGGTTGCCAGATGTGTAGGAAAATTCTCTATTTGAATGTAATTGTAAAGTGGTGTGTTTCTGCCAACAGAAAGGTTTTAAAGGAGATACTCCAGTTACCTTTATTCGTGCAGAATTCAATCAAGTGGTTCTGGGAGACTCTGCAAAAATTACTGTTTCTCCAGAAGGAACTGCAAAATACAACTTCACTAGCAGTTTTGAGTTTAATCCTGAAGGAGGAATCACTTTAGATGACCTCGCTCACAAACCTGTGTTCTGTAAGTCCTTGTGGGTCTAAAAATCAGTGTCTTGATTGCCTTCTTCCTTATCACATTGGATGGGAAAAAGCAGAACCAAAACATTCTTTTAAACATGTAACTAAAATCACAATAAAGAAAGGGTAGTTCCTTTGTTCCCAGAAGCAGTGCAGGAACTGAAAACTGGAAATCCTGAACAGCTGCCATTGGTGTATATATGTTAGTGGAGGTGTGCAGGGGAGAAGGCAGTACTCCTGAACCTAGGAGCTTGGATTTTAATGCTCTCACAAGGACAGAAAAGCTTTGGCTGCTGTTGATGGGGGAATAGAGACAAGGGCTACCTCCCCATCACAAGTTAAGACTGTCAAAAAGAATGGACTAGGAAAAAAAAATCTATTTATCAGCATCTCTGTCTAGATCCTGGGTAAAGAAAAGAGTCTTCACTAGGAATAATCATAGGCTTGTACTAACCATTAAATAATTATATATTTTTAAAACACAGGAGGAACATTTATGTAATAGCAATTGGCTACATTCTAAGCTGTAAAGCAAATCCTACCATATATCAAAGAATCAATAGCATACAGACCACCTTTTCTGCCAAAATGCAACAATCAACAAAATTAGCCAAAAACAAAAAGCCAAAAACCATTTGGAAATTTAAAAACATACTTATGAATAATTCATGGGACAAATAAAAAAGTTATCATAAAATTGCAAAGCATTTGGAAAAGATCAACAGTAAAACACCAAATTAAAAAATTTGTGGGATATAGTTAAAATTGTACTTAGAGGTACATTTATAATCTTAAGCACATTAATTAGAAATAAAAAGGATTAAAAACAGAACTTTTGAGAAGTTGGAATAGATTTACTTTTCTCTATTCCTCCCACTGAGGGACAGCTACAAACCCTGGACATTATATATAAAACAAACATAAGAGATTCTGAGAGGTAGAGAGAAGGAAACTTGGGACCTGGGGAATGAGAGTGGTGAGTTCCTTGGGTTTTCTTTTTGCCTTATATATCCCAGACTTCTTGCTGAAGAAGGTGGCAACCTAGAGACACGAATGGACACAGACCGAAAAAAAAAAAAAAAAAGGAAAGAAAGAAAGACTGATAAAAGTCTGCTCTGTTTAGCCAAAAGACTATGAAAGGGGCAGCCTAATAAGACAGGAAAGTTTTTGACAGTAACTGCTGTACTCCAGCAAAGACCACATGAAAAAATGGTAGCCCCCACCCTCAATCAAGCTGAGTGGACCGCCTAGACTTCTACTCTCACAAAGCTCGAAAATGAGGTTCTCCATTACCCTAGTGATATCAGAGAAAACCAAGTAGGGAGCCAGGATTTTCACCCCCTCTAGTAATAAGTCCCCTTCTCTCCCCCATAATGTCATTGGAGACCATATGGATCTTGGACTTCTATCCTAAACTGTCAGCAACAAGGTGCCCCTTCACTTCCCACTGGAGTGGTGTCAGAGGAGGCCTAGTTTAGAGTCAGAACTTTGACCATCATCCAGGGTTAATGAGTCCACACCCACTGTGGTATCAGTGAAAACCAAGTTAAGAATCAGGACTCCAGATCCCCTACTCAGCAGTCATGAGGAGCTGCCCCCATCAGGCATCAGCAGAGGCTGAGTAGGGAACCTAGACTTCCACCCCCGCTTGGCAGTAATGAGGCAGCATTTCCTTCTTTCTCCTGTTGGGGTGGTGTTGGAAAAAGCCAGCTAAAGCAGAAGGTGTAAGTAAGAGCCAGAGATTCATAGTAATAGGAAAAGTCTGGGTTTCAACTGAAAACTGTAAGTCATTCCAAGAACTGGAAGATCTCAAATTGAATTTAAAAACATAACGTTTAGGTGCGGTGGCTCTTGCCTGTAATCCCAACACATTAGGAGGCCAATGTGGGCAGATCTCTTTGAGCCCAAGGAGTTTAAGACCAGCCTGGGCAACATGGTGAAACCTCATCTCTACTAAAAATTAAAAAAACTAGCTGAGTGTGGTGGTGCATATCTGTAATCTCATCTACTCGGGAAGCTCAGACACAAGAATTGCTTGAGCCTAGGAGACGGAGGTTGCTGTGAACTGAGATCGTGTCACTGCACTCCAGCCTGCGTGACAGAGCAAGACCCTGTCTTCAGAGTAATAATAATAATAATGGCCGGGCGCGGTGGCTCAAGCCTGTAATCCCAGCACTTTGGGAGGCCGAGACGGGTGGATCACGAGGTCAAGAGATCGAGACCATCCTAGTCAACATGGTGAAACCCCGTCTCTACTAAAAATACAAAAAATTAGCTGGGCATGGTGGCGTGTGCCTGTAATCCCAGCTACTCAGGAGGCTGAGGCAGGAGAATTGCCTGAACCCAGGAGGCGGAGGTTGCAGTGAGCCGAGATCGCGCCATTGCACTCCAGCCTGGGCAACAAGAGCGAAACTCTGTCTCAAAAAAAAAAAAAAAAAAAAAAAAATAATAATAATAATAATAATAAATTAAAACATAATCACTACTACCAAGGTGGTAGATATGTTAGAATTATGAGACAATGATGTTTTTTTTTGAGACAGAGTCTCACTCTGTTGCTAGGCTGGAGTATAGTGGTACAATCTCAGCTCACTGCAAGCTCTGACTCCCAGGTTCAAGCAGTTGTCTTGCCTCAGCCTTCCAAGTAGCTGGGATTATAGGCATGCACCGCCACACCCAACTAATTTTTGTATTTTTACTTGAAACAGGGTTCCACTGTATTGGTCAGGATGGTCTCCATCTCCTGACCTCATGATTCACCTACCTTGGCCTTCTGAAGTGCTGGGATGACAGGCGTGAGCCACTGTGCCTGACGAGACAATGATTTTAAAGAAGCCATGATAAAAATGTTTAAATGAGCAATTATAAACATACTGGAAACAAAGGAGAAAATAGATTCAGAAAAGAAACAAAGTCTCAGGAAATAAATAGAAAACACAAAGAAGAACCAAATAGAAAGTTTAGAACTGAAAAATACAATAACTGATAGAAAAAGCTCAGTAAATGGGCATAGCAGCATAATGGAGAATAGAGTGGAAAGAATCAGTGATCTGCAAGACAGGAAGGTAGAAATTACCCAGTCTTAACATTAGAGAAGAAATAGACTAAAAAAAAAAAAATGAAAAGAACTTTAGAGACCTGTGGGACTATAACAAAATAACATCGGAGTCTTAGAAGGAAAGGAGAAAAAGGATGGGTCTGAAAAAGTATTCAAATAAGTAATGTATTAAAACTTCCCGAATTTGGCAAGAAACATAAGCTACAGATAAAGAAGCTGAGCAAATCTCCAACAGGAGGATAAACCCAGAGAAATCTGCACTAAGAAACATAATTAAACTCATGAAAACAAATGGCACAGAAAACTTGAAAGTAGCCTTGGAAAAACAGAGTGACATCAGATTCTCATTGGAAACCATGGAAGTCAGAAAGAAATGGCACAATATTTTCAGTGATAAAAGAACTGTTGTCCAGGCGCAGTGGCTAATGCCTGTAATCCCAGCACTTTGGGAGGCTGAGGTAGGCAGATCACAAGGTCGGGAGATTTAGACCATCCTGGCTAACATGGTGAAACCCCATCTCTACTATCTACTAAAAATACAAAAAATTAGCTGGGTATGGTGGCACACGCCTGTAGTCCCAGCTACTTGGGAGGCAGAGGCAGGAGAACTCAGGAGGCAGAGGTTGCAGTGAGCCAAGATTGTACCACTTCACCTAGCCTGGCTGACAGAGTGAGACTCCATCTCAAAAAAAAAAAAGAAAGAAAGAAAGAAAGAAAGAACTGTCAACCCAGAATCCTATACCCAGAGAAAATATCCTTCATATACGAAAGGGTAGTCAACACATACTAAGGTGACAGAAAACAGAGAATTTGTCACCAGCAGACTTACCCAAAGAGAATAGTTGAAGGAAGTTCCCTAAACAGACAGGAAGTGATAACCTTGGAACAGCAGAAAAGAAGAAAGCATGGTAAGGAAAAATTTGGGTAAATAAAGTAAGCTTTCCTTCTTGGGTTTTCCAAATTGTGTTTGACAGTTGGAACAAAACATGACACTGTGTGATGTGATTCTAAATGTACATAGAGAAAATACTCTAAGGCAGTTATACTGGGAGGATAAAGGGACATAAAGGAAAGTAAGGTATCTATACATCAGTCAAACTGGTGAAATGGTGACAACAGTAGACTGTAAAAATTAATGTACATATAATGTAATACCTAGAGCAACAACTACAAATTCTGTACAAAGAGATATAGTCAAAAATATTAGAGATAAAATACAGTTCTGAAAAAATGTTCAAGTAATGCACAGGAAAGCAGGAAAAAGCAGAGAAATGAAAAACATGACAAATACAGAAACAAAAGAACCCCAGCAGACTTAAGCCCTGCTATATTAATAATTAAAGTAAATATACCATTAAATTGTGCCACTGCACTCCAGCCTGGGTGACAGAGTGAGCCCCTACCTCAAAACCAAACCAAACCCACCAACTAAGAGAGAGAGTGGATTTAAAAACTTGCTGTCCGCAAGAAACTCAAAATATAACCAAATATTCAGGTTAAAAGTAAATACTTAAGGCAGTATTTACGTTTATTAATAAAGGAAATCAAAAGTAAATACATGAGTGTCAAAGTATACTTCACAGCAAAGAAAATAATCAGACACAGACAAGTTCATTATATAATGACAAAAGCGTCAATCCACAAAGAAGATACTGTACTTCTAAGTGGGTATGCACCAAACAGCTGCACAATGTGAAGCAAAACCTGATGCAACTGACAGAAAAATAGATCAGTGAAATAGATAAATCTAAAATTATAGTTGGAGACTTAAACACCCCTTTCTCACCAATTTATGTAATAACTGAAGACAAAATCAGCAAGGATAGAAAAAAACCTCAGTGATGACATTAACCAACATAATCTAATCAATTTAGAATATCCAACAATAGTAGAATAACATTATTTTTATTTTTTATTTTTTTATTTTTTATTTTTATTTTTTTTGAGACGGAGTTTCGCTCTTGTTACCCAGGCTGGAGTGCAATGGCGCGATCTCGGCTCACTGCAACCTCCGCCTCCTGGGTTCAGGCAATTCTCCTGCCTCAGCCTCCTGAGTAGCTGGGATTACAGGTACGCACCACCATGCCCAGCCGATTTTTTGTATTTCAGTAGAGACGGGGTTTCACCATGTTGACCAGGATGGTCTCGATCTCTTGACCTCGTGATCCACCTGCCTTGGCCTCCCAAAGTGCTGGGATTACAGGCTTGAGCCACCGTGCCCGGCTAGAATAACATTATTTTTATGTCAAAATCACATCCTGGGCCATAAGCTAAATGTCAACAAGTTTAAATGAGTTTAAATAATATAGAATGTGTTCTCTGACAGTAGTAGTATCTAAGTAGAAGTCAATAAGATAGTAGGAAATTCTCCAAATACTTGGTAACTAAAAGACACACTTGAAAATAATTCATGGGTCAAAAAGTAAGTCTCAGATTAAGCACCCACTTTGAGGCAGCGATGAGCTGTGGTCCCATCCTACCGAATGCCAGCCTGGGTGACAGAACAAGACCCTGTCTCTAAACAACAACAAAAAGAAGCTAAAAGGCACACTTCTGAATAATCCATGAGTCAAAGAAGAAGTCTCAAGGGAAATAAAAAATACAATAAACTGAATTGAAATGAAAATATGATATATCAAAGTCTATTGGACATGGCTAAAGCAGGCTGAGAAAACTTATTGCACTAACTGTATACATTAGGAAAAGGAAAAGTCTCCAATCAAGTGCCTATTTCAAGAATCTAGGAAAAAAAGAACAAAAGAAACCGAAAGCAAGAAAAAGCAAGAAAAAATAATAAGAACAGAAATCAGTGAAATGTAAAACAGAAAAACAATTGAAAAAGATAGATGAAACAAATAGCTGGTTATTTGAAAACACCAATGAAATTTGCAAACTTCTAGAAAGACTAACCAAAAAACAGCAAAAAAGAAAAGAAATTACCAATATTAGGAGTAAAATGGAATAACAACTTGAACACTGTAGACATTAAATGGATAATAAGGCAATATTATGAACAACCCTATGCACGTAAACTTGACAACTAAAAGGATCAATTCTTTAAAATACACAAACCAGCCGGGTGCAGTGGCTCACACTTGTAATCCCAGCACTTGGGGAGGCTGAGGCAGGTGGATCACCTGAGGTCAGGAGTTCAAGACCAGCCTGGCCAACATGATGAAACACCATCTCTACTAAAAATATAAAAATTAGCTAGGTGTGCACCTATAATCCGAGCTACTCGGGAGCCTGAGGCAGGGGAATTGCTGGAATCAGGGAGGTGGAGGTCTCAGTGAGCCGAGATCATGCCATTGCATTCCAGCCTGGGCAACAGAGCGAGACTCTGTCTGAAAAAAAACGGAAAAAGAAAGATGGGAAAAAAATTGAAGAGATGGAAAGGGAACCTATAGAATAAAAGAGACTTAAGAGATACCAACTAGTTACAGTGTGTGGCCTTATTTGGCCCCTGATTCAAACAAATGGTAAAGAAAATGCCACTGAGGGACATAAAGGTTGAACAACAGAAAGATATGCCATATTCTTGGACAGGAATGCTCAATATTATAAAGATGTCATTTTTCCTAAGTTTATTTATAAATTTAATGTGATCTCTGTAAATCAGCCAACATTTAAAAAACATTATCGAATTTCTACAGAAAATAGTTTTTTAAGTAAAAATAATCAGGAGATTCTGAAAAGAAGGATTATTAGTCCTACATGATAGAAAAACATGAAACCATAGTAAAACAGTGTAGTGCTGGGACATGCATAGACATACAGATCATTGAAACAGACTAGAAGGTCTAGATACAGTCATCAGTACTTCTAGTAAGTTAGCACATGGTTAAGATGACATGCAAATCAATGGGGGTAAGGGGGAACATGGAATATGTAACCAAATGTATCGGGACACTTGGGTAGCTATCTGGGAAAAAGTGTAACCAGTCTTAAAATTACACAAAAGTTGGGCATGGTGGCTCATGCCTATAATCCCAGCACTTTGGGATGCTGAGGCAGGCAGATCTCTTGAGCCCAGAAGTTCAAGAACAGCCTGGGCAATATGGCAAAACTGTCTCTACAAAAAAATACAGAAATTAGCTGTGTGCAGTAGTGAGCCCTTGTAGCCCTAGCTATTCCAGAGGCTGAGGTGAGAGGATCACTTGAGTCCTTGAGGCAGGGGTTGCAGTGAGCTGAGATTGCACCACTGCATTCCAGCCCAAGTGACAAAGTGAGACCTGGTCTCAAAAAATAAACAAACACCAAAATAAATACCAGCTGGATAAAATGTGTGTAAAAAATTAAACCATGTAAGTACCATAAGAAATCCTGGAATTAAAATAATCAGAGTGATGAAGCCTTTAGAAGTATTTCACAACCGTAGAAACCACAGAAGAAAAATATATATATTTTACTTAAGCAGCTGTAAGATAAGTCACAAACTGGAATACAGTTTGCAATTAATTTCTGTACAGAAGTCAAATTTACCTTTAAAGAGCTCTTACATATTAATAAGAGGAAGAATCTAATGGAAAAGTATACAAAACATAGGAATATGAAAAGTTCATGGAAAAGGAACTATAACTGGTTCTTAAATATATGAATAAAATTTCAACCTGACTCTAATACAAAAAATAAACTTATGCTTAGATGCTATTTTCATCTGTCAGATTACAAAGATCAGAGTTTGATAACATACCACACAGGTAAATGTGTTATCAAACTCTGTTATCCTTGCTGAAAATGCTAAAGCTGAATGAAAGTAGGAAACAGAGGAATTGAGAAATAAATTAAATACTATGAGGAATAAAATGAGACAAATCTAGAGATGTGACATTCTATGTAACTATTAGCCTGGTGTCTTCAACAAAAGAGAGAAATATTTGAGAGAAAAAGTATGTGTAAAGCGGGGACTGTTATAAATGAAAAGAAACATGACAACCAAATGCGACATGTGGTCTTTGAGTAGATTCTGGTTTTAACAGAGCAGCTATACAATAATTTTGGGGATAACTTGGAAATGTTAAGTATAAAATGGACACTAGATGAATTAAGGAATTATTTAATGCTATTATCACACTTGCTAGATGTGGAAACTGATTTTGGTTTTCTAGGAAAATGTCTTATTGGGGATTTATATACTTTGGTATTTAGGAGTAAGATATGATGTCTGTAATTTATTTTAAAAGTACTTCAGCAAACAAAGCAAATATGATAAGGTATTTGAGCAAAGCTACATATGATAAAGCAAAAAAATTGTTAAATTTAGATTATGGTTATATGGATAGTTGTTATACTATATTGCTTTGTGTACTGAAATTTTTATAGTAAATGTTAAGCACGCAGAGTAATGCTATAGTGAAAAACATTGTACACACTCTGCATGCTACCAGATTACTCTGTTAATCTGTTAAGCCTTATGGGAGGCAATATGGGGAGATCCAGAGCAGTGTTTTTCTTTTTTCTTTCTTTCTTTTTTTTTTTTTTTACCCAAGTTCAAGGGATAAATCCAAGATAGAGCAGTGTTTTTCAAACTTCAGATTGTGACTTTTTTAGTCATTCCTAAAATCAATTGATGGGCATTATGACTAGTAATTTCTTCTATATGAAATAGAATAGAAAATGCCTAAGGATTTTGATCTAGTAAAGATTAATAGTATATGAAGCTTTGTTATATAATCATATGTATCAGTTCCTTTTATACACATGCACGTACGTAATTATAATCTAAAACCCATTTCTATTATAACTTGCAGGCAAAAAGTTCAAAAGTTACTGAAGCGGTCCAGTATTTTCCACCAAAAGTCACTGATGTTGGTGCCTTCTCTACTTCAAGTTTATTTTTTTAAACTTATATATCTTTGACAATGCTTTGTTTGTTGCACCCTGGTTATTGGATGGATGAGTTTTAAATGTCTCATTTTCTTTGTTTTGATTTTTCTAGTAACTGTGACTGAAGTTTTACCAAAGGAAAAGAAACAGAAAGAAGAAAAGACCTTAATTCTTGGTCAAGCTGTGGTGGATCTTCTTCCCTTACTGGAAGGTCAGATGTATGCTTTGCCCAAAAGTGGAAATGGCAAAGCTCATAAAATTTAGCCCCAGACAGATACAGAAATTAGCCTCAATGAATTTGAGGGATTTGAGGGGAAAAGTGGGCACATTTATCTCTGCTTGCAATCGCACTAACTTAATCCTTTCTTCTTTGGCTCAACGTGGGCTTCTTTTTGCAGGACAGAGTTCATTTCAAACAGCGGTTCCATTGCACCCTGTGCAGGGCTCACCCTTAGAGACTCCTAGTTCAAGTGTTAAGGTAATCAGAGTTTTAGCTCTCTATATTTTAGCCTGCCATTCAATCTAACAAGTCTGTCCGCTATTAAGGTTCAATTCAGTTCGGTGTAATGCATTGGGCATTTTCTTTTCACAGCACACACAATGTTAGATTCTGGGAAACAAAGATAATAAGGTAGAGTCCTACTTTGAAAGCCCACGATCTGTATATCATAGATTATAACCCAGTGTGATTCAATGGTGGAGTGAGGCACATGGGCACAGAGCAGGTATCAGTTACATTGTCCATGGGTAGAGGCAAGGAAGGCTTAATCGTGGAAATAACTCTTGAGCTATGTCCTGATGGATCACGTAGTATATGAAAGCATCTCATATACTTTAGGGCATAGTAGCATGCTTCTCATTGAAGATTTCTGATCCAACAGTTCCAGCCCAAACCCCTTTCTGGAATTCTAGAATATCAGACTTTACAAGCACCTACTATATACCTCTATAATGGTATCCCATAGGCACCTAAAACTCAACATTCCAGAACTGAACTCAGTATTTTCCCTGAAACCTACTCTTCCTTTTATCTTAGTTTTTTGACTAGTGGCATCACCCATCCATGAAATCATGGAACATAGAACCTAAATTACATCTATGACTGTTCCCTTAGACCCTACCTAATTCCAGTCCTAAAATCTGCCTTTCATCACATCCAGCCTTTTCCATCTTCTAAGTGTCTTTAGGTTTCCTTTTTGGATTCATTCCTACTTTTTATTGCGTTATTATCTCTCACTTGAATGGCTACAAGTAGTCTTGTGCCTACCTTTGCCTCTCTCTAGTTCAATCTTCCCATGGCTTGCACAGCGATTAAAAAGTGAATCTGATCTCATCTCTTCCCCTGCTTAGTACTATGTAGTTCATGGATTCACCCACTGCTTACAAGTTAAGGTCCAGGTCCAGATTGCTTAGCAGGCATACAGCATCTTTTTTTTTTTAAGATGGAGTATTGCTCTTTTGCCAGGCCGGAGTGCAGTGGCATGATCCCAGCTCACTGCAACCTCTGCCTCCTGGGTTCAAGCAATTTTCCTGCCTTAGCTTCCTGAGTAGCTGGAACTATAGGCATGCACCGCCACGCCCGGCTAATTTTTGTATTTTTTAGTAGAGATGGGGTTTCACCATATTGGCCAGGATGATCTTGATCTCTTGACCTCGTGATCCACCCACCTTGGCCTCTCAAAGTTCTGGGATTTCAGGCGTGAGCCACTGTGCCCAGCCAGCATATTTTATGATGGGAGCCTCCCTCTTTAACCTCATCTTCCATTATTCGTCTCCTTATATTAATACTTCAAGTTCCAGAATCCTGAATTACTTACATATACCTAAATGGAAGATACCATACTGTTCCAGTCCCCCTTTACATAGACTATTTTTCCCTCTAAGACTAGTCAAGTACAGTAGTGAGAAGCGGTAAAAGAAGAGAACAAAAAATTTGATCTGTAACTGACTGTGAATGGTCAGTTGAGATAACTCACTACCTTTGGACCAGCCTACATAAACTGTTCTTATCTAGAATTATTTCTCTTTCCTTCCTCTGCTAATCCAGGTTTGTTTTTTTTTTTTTTTTTTTTTTTTTTTGAGACAGAGTTTCGCTCTTGTTACCCAGGCTGGAGTGCAATGGCGCGATCTCGGCTCACCGCAACCTCCGCCTCCTGGGTTCAGGCAATTCTCCTGCCTCAGCCTCCTGAGTAGCTGGGATTACAGGCACGCACCACCATGCCCAGCTAATTTTTTGTATTTTTAGTAGAGTCGGGGTTTCACCATGTTGACCAGGATGGTCTCGATCTCTTGACCTCGTGATCCACCCGCTTCTGCCTCCCAAAGTGCTGGGATTACAGGCGTGAGCCACCGCGCCCAGCCAAATCCAGGTTTTAAATGATAGGCATCCTGTAACTGTCAGCCCAGCCAAATAGTTATTCACTTCCTCCTTGGTGTCCTTGACTGCACCATTTTGTACAGGTCTCTAGTATAGATTTCACATAAATCATGGCACTATACCATGAGTTCCATGTTGAAAGGAACTATATATTCTTTGTCTTTATATCCCTAGTGATGTAGCAAAGTGCCTAGCATTCAATACTCAATTTTTTTTTTTTTTTTTTTTTTTTTGAGACAGAGTTTTGCTCTTACTGTCCAGGCTGGAGTGCAATGGTGTGATCTCAGCTCATTGCAACCTCCACTTCCTGGGTTCAAGCAATTCTCCTGCCTCAGCCTACTGAATACCTGGGATTGCAGGCAGTCACTACCATGCCTGGCTAATTTTTATATATTTTTTCTTTTTTTGAGACAGAGTCTTGCCCTATAGCCCATGCTAGAGTGCAGTGGCATGGTCTTGGCCCACTGCATCCTCCATCTCCCAGGTCCCGGTTCAAGCCATTCTCTTGCCTCAGCCTCCCAAATAGCTGGACTTACAGGCATGAACCACCATGCCCAGAAAATTTTTGTATTTTTAGTAGAAACGGGGTTTCACCATGTTGGCCAGCCTGGTCTTGAACTCCTAACCTCAGGTGATCTGCCTGTCTCAACCTACCAGAGTTCTAAGATTACAGGCATAAGCCACCTTGCCCAGCCTCAAAACACATTTAAAACCTACTTTGTACGTGTCCTGAGTGAAAATGTCAGAGATATACACATATATGTCTATACCTATTTATGTGGAATATATACATAAGTATTTGAAAACAAATATTTTCTTATTACAAAGCACTGCATTTAAATTACAAAAATAATCCTAAGTTACAGATTAGCCAAAAAAGCATCCAATCTCACTTACTCATGTGCAATTACTATTGACATTTCATTTTTTTTTTCCTTTTTTGAGATGGAGTTTCACTCTTATTGCCCAGGCTAGAGTGCAATGGCACAATCTCAGCTCACTGCCTCCCCAGGTTCAAGTGATTCTCTGCCCTCAGCCTCAGCCTCCCCAGTAGCTGGGACTACAGGGCATGTACCACCACGGCTGGCTAATTTTGGAATTTTTAGTAGAGATGGGTATTCACCATGTTGGCCAGGCTAATCTTGAACTCCTGATCTCTGGTGATACACTTGCTTCGGCTCCCAAAGTTCTGGGATTAAAGGAGTGAGCCACCACACCCAGCCGACATTTCAATTGAATCTTCCAATTCCTGTTTATATGTATTTAGATATATACTTTACCTCGGAATGGTAGAGTGGGAAGGGATCTAATTTAGGGATAAGATTCTCTTCTTGGCCCTATCTTCTCTAAATCATGGGACCTAGAGAATATTATTTCAGTTTATGGAAATAATTAAGCTTTACCTTCTTATCTTGAAGAGTGATATGAGATTCAAATGAGTTAATGAAAAAAGGAAGACCTCTGGCAGTTTCCAAAATGCTGCATAATTTTATTCTTTTACAGCAATGCAGTCTCGAAGTTAAAGTATTAGTGGCAGAACCTTTACTGACCACAGCCCAGATCTCAGAGGGCAATCTACTGAAGGTCACATTGGAGGCTGCTTACTCCGTGCCTGAATCCTTCATTCCAACAGGTCCTGGGCAGAACTACATGGTTGGTCTGCAAGTGCCATCAGTTGGAGAGGTAAAGCCTTACTGCCAGATATTTATAGAGATTCAAACATGTCTGCACTCACATAGCCATCTCTTCCTCACCTCTGAGATTTCATTTAAAGCACTACTTTGCTAATGGCTGAGATTTATTTTAGGCTTGAAAAATAAAGTTTATTTCTATTTGTATACAGATTTTAATGTTTATGATTTACATATTTATTAAATATATTGTACATTAAATATAATTTAAATATATGGTGGAAAATATGTCAGACATTTAAAATGGCGAATTTTGGTGCATTTTCTTACAGATTATTTTTATGTGTACATTTTATAGATTCTGTACAATTGCTTTTTTTTTTTTTTTTTTTTTTTTTTTTTTTTGAGACGGAGTTTCGCTCTTGTTACCCAGGCTGGAGTGCAATGGCGCGATCTTAGCTCACCGCAACCTCCGCCTCCTGGGCTCAGACAATTCTCCTGCCTCAGCCTCCTGAGTAGCTGGGATTACAGGCACACGCCACCATGCCCAGCTAATTTTTAGTATTTTTAGTAGAGACGGGGTTTCACCATGTTGACCAGGATGGTCTCGATCTCTTGACCTCGTGATCCACCCGCCTCGGCCTCCCAAAGTGCTGGGATTACAGGCTTGAGCCACCGCGCCCGGCCTACAATTACTTTATTAAACAAAACTTTCTCTTAATTCTATGTTATTTTCTTAGGCCAAATTTCTAGATATAGGAATGATTGGCTATGGAGTTTCTTAGGCTCTTGATGGAGATTTCTAAATTGCTTGCTAAAAGGCTTATATTCAGTTAACACTTCCACTTGTCTTATATCCAGGGCCATGTATGTGAATGACTCGCTAAAGTTGTGTAGCAACTGTTCAGTTTGCTGAGGACTTATGAGGTTCTTGGGACATGAGACTTTCAGCACGACAACTGGGACAGTCCTAGGCAAATGAGGTGGCTGATCACCCTTCCTGGGAGCAACCTACATAGCTATATGAGGCAGATCTGTGCTTTGCCTTCTCTCCAACTTTGGGATTGTATTGAAAAATTTCTATTTGTTTTTGCTAATTTTAATAATTAAAAGTACCTTTTAGGCCGGGCGCGGTGGCTCAAGCCTGTAATCCCAGCACTTTGGGAGGCCGAGGCGGGTGGATCACGAGGTCAAGAGATCGAGACCATCCTGGTCAACATGGTGAAACCCCGTCTCTACTAAAAATACAAAAAACTAGCTGGGCGTGGTGGTGCGTGCCTGTAATCCCATCTACTCAGGAGGCTGAGGCAGGAGAATTGCCCGAACCCAGGAGGCGGAGGTTGCGGTGAGCCAAGATCGCGCCATTGCACTCCAGCCTGGGTAACAAGAGCGAAACTCCGTCTCAAAAAAAAAAAAAAGTACCTTTTATTTGTTTTGTTTTGTTTTTCTTTTGGAGGTCTTAGTATTTTTCTTACTGATTTATTAAATTCTGGCCAGGATAGGGTGGCTCATACCTGTAATCCTAGCACTTTGGGAGGCTCAGGCTGGTAGATCACCTGAGGTTAGGCGTTTGAGCCCAGCCTGGCCAACATGGTGAAACCCTGTCTCTACTAAAAATACAAAATAATTAGCCAGGTGTGGTGGCAGACACCTGTAATCCCAGCTACTGGGGAGGCTGAGGCAGGAGAATCACTTGAACCCGGGAGGCAGAGGTTGCAGTGAGCTTAGATCGCGCCATTGCACTCCAGCCTGGGCAGCAAGAACAAAACTCTGTCTCAAAAAAATAAAAAAAATTCTTCATATGTAGAGAAAAATAATGTTTTTTTTCAAGTTTGTCAATTTATACTTTATCATGTTTATTTCTGGTGTATTATTTATTTTTAATTTGGGTCATTCCTTTGGTATACAAAAGTTTTTTTAATATTATATCTTTTTCTTTTTTTTTTTTTTTTTTTGAGATGGAGTTTTGCTCTTGTTACCCAGGCTGGAGTGCAATGGTGTGATCTCGGCTCACCGCAACCTCCACCTCCTGGGTTCAGGCAATTCTCCTGCCTCAGCCTCCTGAGTAGATGGGATTACAGGCACGCGCCACCATGCCCAGCTAATTTTTTGTATTTTTAGTAGAGACGGGGGGTTTTACCATGTTGACCAGGTTGGTCTTGATCTCTTGACCTCGTGATCCACCCACCTCGGCCTCCCAAAGTGCTGGGATTACAGGCGTGAGCCACCGTGCCCGGCTCTAATATTACATCTTTTTCTTTTAGGTTTCTTGCATCATTTTAAACTTGAAAAGGGCTCCTTTATTCTGATGTTTGATGAAAGGATGCCATTCCAGGTCCTAGTTTTGTTCTTGTTTTTGTTTTTGGAGATGGAGTCTCGCTCTGTCACTCAGACTGGAGTGCAGTGGCATGATCTAGGCTCACTGCAACCTCTGCCTCCCGGGTTCAAGCAATTCTCCTGCCTCAGCCTCCCAAGTAGCTGGAACTACAGATGCCTGCCACCATGCCTGGCTAATTTTTTGAATTTTAGTAGAGACAGGGTTTCACCATGTTGCCGCAGCTGGTCTTAAACTCCTGACCTCAGGTGATCTGCCCACCTCAGCCTCCAAAAGTGGTAGGATTGTTGGAGTGAGTCACCACACCTGGCCCCAGGTCCTAGTTTTTGGAGTAGTCTTAGTTCCAGCTTCCTCTCCCACCTGGGCACAGGGCCATGCTTCCTTCTCTATAAGAGTGTCTGGATCTGACATTTCCTCAGTTGGTACAGCATCATGCCATGAGCTTATCCTTTGGGTATTGAGTTGCTGCTGCTGCCAGTTCTGGCATGTTTAAACTTTCTTTTTTTGAGACACAGTCTCACCCTGTTGCCCAGGCTGGAGTGCAGTGGTATAATCTTGGCTCACTGCAACTTCCACCTCCCAGGTTCAAGCGATTCTCTTGCCTCACCCTCCTGAGTAGCTGGGACTACAGGCGCCTGCCACCACACCTGGCTAATTTTTTTATTTTTAGTACAGACGGGCTTTCATCATATTGGCCAGGCTAGTCTCGAACTCCTGACCTTGTGATCCATCTGCCTCGGCTTCTCAAAGTGCCAGGATTACAGGCATGAGCCACTGAGCCCAGCCTAGACTTCATTTACTTCTTTTCGCCTTGGCTACATGATAAAAGAAAATTTTTTGTTGTTGTTGTTGCTGTTCTACTTTGTCCATTATGTTGATGCGTTTGTTGCTGATGAAGGGTCCATTGTACTTTAGTTTGCTATAGTGTTGGAAATAGAATGTTTCATATATATATATAATTGCATTTTAGGTTTTGGGGTACATGTGCAAGATTGTTGCATAGGTACATACATGGCAGTGTGGTTTGCTGCCTTCCTCCCCATCACCTATATCTGGCATTTCTCCCCATGTTATCTCTCCCCAACTCCCCACCCTGCGCTGTTCCTCTCCTAGTTCCCCCCAACAGACCCCAGTGTGTGATGCTCCCCTCCCTGTGTCCATGTGTTCCATTGTTCAACACCCGCCTATGAGTGAGAGCATGTGGTGTTTGATTTTCTGTTCTTGTGTCTGTTTGCTGAGAATGATGGTTTTCAGGTTCATCTATGTCCCTGAAAAGGACACGAACTCATCATTTTTAATGGCTGTATAGTATTCCATGATGTATATGTGCCACATTTTCCCTGTCCAGTCTATCATCGATGGGCAGTTGGAAACTTCTTTTAAGGGCCATTTATATTTCTTTTCCAGTAAACTTTTTGTTCTTGTTCTTTGTCTATCTGTGTATCTCTATATCTATTTATTATTAAGAGATAGGGTCTCCCTCTATCACCTAGGCTGGAGTGCAGTGCACAATCATAGATTACAATAACCTTGAACTTCTGGACTCAAGCAATCCTCTCACTTCAGCCTCCCAAGTAGCTGGGACTATAGGTGCATGCCATCTCACGTGGCTAATTTTTAAATTTTTTTGTTAAAATGGGGTCTTGCTGTGTTGCCCAGGCTCATTTTGAACTCCTGGCTTCAAGTGATCCTCCTGGCTCTATCTCCCAAAGTGTTGGAATTATAGGCAGTAAGCCACCTTGCCTGGCTGATATCTCATGAAATGTAGCATGTTTTTCTTTAAATGTTGGATTTTCTTATTTCTCCTTCTATAAATTGCCTGCTTAACTATTTTACCAATTTTTACTGCAACTGTACTTTGGATAAGTTATAAGACATGAAAATGCCTATATTTTTAGCCCCTTGCCAGATTTTGGTTTGTTTTCTAAAGGATAATTTTTAAACAGGTATAAACACAACTCTCATATAAGCATAAAGTAACAGGATTTGGTCCAAGATTTTGTTTGACTAATTAGTGAGGGAATCAGTAAAATGTGACAACGAGTTCAAAGGAGTATATAGTCATATGGAATGCCGAAATTACTTTGCCAGTAATTCAAAACTTGTTATTAGCTTCAGGGCAGTAATTAGTTACATTGCCACTGGAAAAACTGTATCTGCATATTTATGAACAAGAATAATTTGCATTATTATCAAATGTCTATAAGTTACAGAATTATAAAATAGCACAAAGGCAAAGAAAGGCACAGGCCCCTCTCTAGAATCAGATTAATTATAGAAGGGTATGTTTGACAACACTTAGCATACCATTGAAAATACTCTTGAGTAATCTTTTTGTCCACTTCAAAGTCCTTTATAATCTTTCCTGACGTATGGTATTTATTTCTGTAGAAAGACTATCCCATTTTATTTAAGAATGGAACTCTGAAGCTTGGAGGGGAAAGAGAACCTGTTCCCCGGCCCAAAAAATGGCCCATTGCCAACATACTGGCTCCAGGAGCTAATAACATTCCTGATGCATTCATCGTTGGTGGTCCCTATGAAGAAGAAGATGGAGAACTCAACCATCCTGAGGTGAGAGACAGCCTGATGTACAGGTTTTTGTGATAAATTTAGTATACTGACAGATGATAGAACATTTTGTAAAACACTGTAATTTATATATATCTGCCACCTGTCAAAATAAAACAATTACATGCCAATATAAAACACTTATCTAATTCTGATGCAGATATCTCTGGCTTCTTAAGTCCAGCAAACAAAATAATTTATATCAAATGTACTCTTTATTTTTTTCCCTCATCCTATTACTAAAACTCTTTATTTTGTATTTATTTATTTATGAATAGGTAATTATCAGTCACTGTCAAAAACTAAGATATATGCAGTGAAAGTGTCCCTCTATTTATGTCTCTTCCTTCTAATTCCTTCCCATCTCATTATCCTAGTAGTGATAGCAGCAGTAGCCAGTCTGGAGCAACTCCTGCCACGATGCTGGCTGCAATGAGGGAGGCCCGGCTGGGTCTACACGCTCCATGGAGCCAGCAGAAGCCGGGAAGAAGTGGGAGCCCCACCCTCCCATGTGCAGCTGCAGCTGCCCAGCGACATACCAGCTGCATACCCCGGCATCTCTGCACTCTTGGAGGCTGGGAAGCCCTCCAGCCCCCATAGGTTTGGAAGTGCCTGCTCCCACTGCCTGGTCTCTGTCCACTCCCAGTGCCTGCTCCAATTTCTGTGGCCAAGCATGAGTGCTGTCACAACCTCGCCAGGTGTGCATGCACTCAGGTCAGCACTGACACACGAACCCCCTGCTGCCTCGGTGTTCCTCCAGACTTTGGGCACCCATGAGCATGGGAGAAAGTCTGAGGGGACGCTGAGGGCAGCTTGGCATGGGCCTGCAGGCGCCCCTTGGCATGAACAACCAGGGTGCTATGGATGGCAGCAGGAGGCAGACAGGCTCCTGGGCAAAAAGGGGCAGGTTCCCAGTGAAACCCCACCTTCAGGCCAGGGACTGCCTGAAGTCTGGGGACCAGGCTGCTAGTTCTGTGGACCGGAATGAGAATTTATGGTGCTTTTTCTGGGCTCACCCATGGCCTCCCATGGATCAATCAGTATCCACTTCCTCCCCTCTGAAGTACATAAATGCAGGACTCAGGCAGACTTAGGCAAAGAATGGGATGACTTGCCTGTGGAGAGGAGCTACCCACTGTGGGTCTCCTCTCTTCTGAGAGCTAGACACTCATCAGGACAACCTGTCTGCAAAGAAGAGCTACCACTACTCAGTGAGTCTCATCTGAGCTGTTCTGTTGCTCAGTAAAGCACCTCTGCCTCGCTCACCTTCCGCTTGTCTGTGTAACTCATTCTTCCTGGACACTGGACAAGAGCTCAGGACCTGCTGAATGCTGGGGCTGAAAGAGCTGTAACACAAACGGGGTTGAAACCCTTGCTCACCACATTGTAGGTGACAAGAAGGAGAAAAGAGAGAAGGGCTGCAGTCCTTCAGGAAGCCCAGACCTGGGAGCTCCCTGAGCCAGGGCTATGACGCTTGGGGCTCTTCGGTTTCTAGCACCACTGCATTCCCCATTGCCAGCCATGGAAGCTGTCTGCAGTATGCCTGGTTCAGCCACAGCCTTACAGGGAGCTAGCACCTGTGCTGTGCCTGGAGCCGCTGGCCCTGCTGCAGCCAGCATGCCTGGCTGTGCACAGTGGCCAGACCCCATGATCATGTGGGATCCAGGCCACAAACCTAGCACAGCCTGCTAGGCTGAGTGGGTGAAATGAGCCCAGCAGGCCCAAGCAGAAGTTGGGCAAAGGTGCCACCAACCACAGAGGTTTTCTGCTGGAAAAGCAGTCTAAGGATTCTGTGACAGTAGTCACCTTTATTACAGTTTCTTGTGTTTCCTTCTAGATACTTTCTTACGCATATAAAAGCAAATGCATAAGTCAAAAGAAGACTCAGAGACAGAAGCATTTAGAAAAGTAAAGAAAAGGTTTCCTTGCAAATTGTGAGAGTCAGACTTCAGAAGGATTGGCTCACCAAATAAAAAATAAGTATAGTCATTCTGGCTGGGCACAGTGCTGATGCCTGTAAGGCCGGCACTTCAGGAGGCCAAGGCAGGTCTCCTCCTCACTGAGGTCAGGAGTTCAAGACTAGCCTGGCTAAAATGATAAAACCCTGTCTGTACTAAAAATACAAAACTTAGCTGGGCATGGTGGCACATGCCTGTATTTCCAGCTGCTTGGGAGACCTGAGGCACAAGAATCACTTGAACTGGGCGGCGGAGGTTGAAGTGAGCCAGGTTTGTGCCACTGCACTCCAGCCTGAGTGACAGAGCGAGATTCTGTCTCAAAAAAAAAAAAAAAAAAAAAAAAAAAGATAGCGATCCCTTGGTATACTTGGGGGATTGTTACCAGGACCCCTGCATATATCAAAATTTGTGCATACTCAAGTCCTGCAGTCAACCCTGTAGAAATCATATATAGGAAAAGTTGGTCCTCCATAAATGTGGTTTTACATCCCACAAATACTGTATTTTTTATCCATATTTGGTTTAAAAATGGGCCAGGCACAGTGGCTCATGCCTGTAATCCCACCACTTTGGGAGGCCAAGTTGGGCAGATCACTGGAGGCAGGAGTTTGAGACCAGCCTGGCCAATATGGTGAAACCCCATCTCTACTAAAAACACAAAAATTATCCAGTGCAGTGGCATGTGCCTGAATCCCAGCTCCTCAGGAGACTGAGGCATGAGAACTGCTTGAACCCAGGAGGCAGAAACTGCAGTGAGCTGAGATCATACCACTGCACTCCAGCCTGGGCCACAGAGCAAGACTTTGTATCAAAAAAAAAAAAAAGATTCACATATATATAAGTGGACCCCATGCAATTCAAATTTGAATAGTGGCATGCTTCTGAATCCTACCTTCTTGGGAGGCTGAGGCACGAGAATTGCTTGAACTTAGGAGGCAGAGGCTGCAGTGAGCCGAGATTGCACCACTGCACTCCAGCCTGGGCAACAGAGCAAGATTCTGTCTCCAAAAAAAAAAAAAAAAAAAAAAGATTCACATAAGTGGAAACATGCAATTCAAATCGTGTTGTTCAAGGGTTAAGTGTATTTATAAGAAACAACACAAAATTACCAACATTACTTCATTTACATTAATCTATTCATGGCAAAACTGCAGGTTTCTTCACTTGATTCTCAGATATACAAAGATTATAAAATACCTTCAGACATCAGCATAATAAACATTAGGGATAAAAGTACTTTTCTTTTCTTTCTTTCTTTCTTTCTTTTTTTTTTTTTTTTGACCTGGAGTTTTGCTCCTGTTGTCCAGGCTGGAGTGCAATGGTGCAATCTCGGCTCACTGCCACCTCTGCCTCCTGGGTTCAAGTGATTCTCCCACCTCCAAGTAGCTGGGATTACAGGTGCCCGCCACCACACCTGGCTAATGTTTGTATTTTTGGTACAGAATGGGTTTCACCATGTTGGCTAGGCTGGTCTTGAACTCCTGACCTCAGGTGATTCACCTGCCTCGGCCCCCCAAAGTACTGGGATTATAGGTGTGAGCCACCGTGCCTGGCCAATAATGGTACTTTTCTTTAGGCTGTCCAGATTTTCAGGAAGTATTCAAAGTCTTGTTATTTTTGGAACTAGAATCTGTTAGGAAAAAAACGCTATTTTTGCTTTATTTCAAGGTATTAATGTTTTGTTTGTTTGTTTGAGACAGAGTCTCACTCTGTCACCCACGCTGGAGTGCAGTGATGCAATCTTTACTCACTGCAACCTCCGTCTCTTGAGTTCCAGCTATTCTCATGCCTCAGCCACCTGAGTAGCTGGTTTTACTGGCGCATGTCACCATGCCCTGCTAATTTTTGTATTTTTAGTAGAGACAGGATTTCACCATATTGACCAGGCTGGTCTCTAACTCCTGATCTTAAGTGATCCACCCACCTCAGCCTCCCAAAGTGCTGGGATTACAGGCACGAGCAACCGCGGCCAGCCTGTTTTTTGTTTTTTAACTGGGTGTATAAAACGTTTAATCAGACAGACATATATGTACTAACTAATGCATATATGCATTCTTTCCCCATTGTTTTTGTTACACAAATGTAAAGAATGTATACTTACACATACTCTATACAACTTGCTTTTACTTTGTGGTGTATTTTGGAGATTTTTCCACATTACATAAAGAGCAGTCTCACTCTTTTTCTTTATTTGTACTTGCTGTATAATATGACATTGTACAGACATACTTTAATATATACTTATTAATTATATTAATGAACACAAAAATTTGTCAAGGACATAGAAAATGGTATAGCACACTTACAAATGTTTCTTGAATTAGCTGATAATCCACTGATGGAAACATTTAATAGAATAATTTGTTAAATGGGGATAGTTGAATTATTTTTCATTGTCTGACTCTAAATATTTAAAATAGTAGAGATGAGGCTAACACTATTGGTGAAACACTGTGTGGTATCTTTTCACATCAGTATGATTAGTAAAAATTAGTACTTGGCCGGGCACAGTGGCTCACGCCTGTAATCCTAGCACTTTGGGAGACTAAGGCAGGCAGATCATGGGGTTGGGAGTTCAAGACCAGCCTGACCAACATGGTGAAACCCCGTCTCTACTAAAAATACAAAAATTAGCCAGGCATGGTGGCAGCCACCTGTAATCTCGGCTACTCAGGAGGCTGAGGCAGGAGAATCACTTGAAACTGGGAGAAAGAGGTTGTACTGAGCCAAGATTACGCCATTGCACTCCAGCCTGAGTGACAGAGAGAGACTCCATCTAAAAAAAAAAGTTCATACTTTTCTTAGATGTATATTTTAATTTAGATCAGACATTTTATTTTAGATATTCAGATTATATATTATGTTTTAGTTTAGATAATTAATTCTCAACCCTGGCTGCAAATTACAGTCACCAGGAAAGCATGTGAAACAACAATAACAATGGCTAAGTGCTAACCTGTGTAAACTGTGTAAGAATTGTAAGAATTTACTTTTAAAACATTACCAATGCCAGGTGTTTCTTGTTTTTTCTTGTTTTTTGTTTGTTTTGTTTTTTTTTTTTTAGACAGGGTCTTACTCTGTCACCCAAGCAGGAATGCAGTGGTACGATTATTGAGGCTCATTGTAGCCTCAACCTCCTATGCTCAAGCGATCCTCCTGCCTCAGCCTCCTGAGTAGCTGGAACCACAGGCACATGCCACCATGCTCAGCTAATTTTTATATATATTTTTTAGAGATGAAGGTCTCACTTTGTTGCCCAGCCTGGTTTGAACTCCTGGCCTCAAGCAGTACTCCTGCCTTGGCCTCCCAAAATGTTGGGATTACAGGTGTGAGCCACTGCACTGAGTCTAGTTTTGTGTGTGTGTGTGTGTGTGTGTGTGTGTGTGTGTGTGTGTGTGTGAGACGGAGTTTCGCTCTTGTTACCCAGGCTGGAGTGCAGTGGCGTGATCTCGGATCACTGCAACCTCCGCCTCCTGGGTTCAGGCAATTCTCCTGCCTCAGCCTTCTGAGTAGCTGGGATTACAGGCATGCGCCACCATGCCCAGCTAATTTTTTGTATTTTTAGTAGAGACGGGGTTTCACCATGTTGACCAGGATGGTCTCGATCTCTTGACCTTGTGATCCACCCGCCTCGGCCTCCCAAAGTGCTGGGATTACAGGCTTGAGCCACTGCGCCTGGTCTTTTTGTTGTTGTTGTTGTTTTTTTAACCCCAGATGATTTTAATATGGATCTAGGGTGAGAATCATTGATTGAGGTTATGTTAGTCAGTATTTGGATCTTAGTACTGGATCAATGTAACTATTATATATGTAATTTATCTTACCTTATATACTTTATTAATAATAAAATACCCATAATTTTAAGGTGGTGGTAGTAGTTGCAATAGTAGTCATACTTATAGTAGCAACAGTAGTAGGAAAAATGTGAACAAATCCATTAAAAGAATGCCCTATAGATGGAGCAGAATGAAATCGTGGCACACACACAGAGAACAGAAGTCTCTATCTTATATTTTATAGGACAGGGAATTTAGGAATCAAGCAGAGTGCATAAAGAAAAGGATTATTTGGGACCTGGAAAGTCGCTGCTACCTTGATCCTCCTGCAGTGGTCAGGTAAGAAGAGGAAGGAAGTATGTTTAATCCACAAAGGCTTATAAGTGGGAAGAAATGTTACTTTTGTTAATTTTATTTATATTTGAGTTAAGGTGATTTTCAATTGAGACTTTCTTATTTATCACATCTCTATGTTAGAGTGATGTTGTGTTCATCTACTAATAATGGAAACACCCAGTGATGGTGGTTTAACCAAAGTGAGTGCTTATTCCTCTTTTATATAAAAGAAGTCCAGCTGCACCTGGTGTCTCATGCCTATGATGCCAGCACTTTGAGAGGCTGAAGCAGGTTCAAGACCAGCCTGGGCAACAAAGCAAGACCCTGGCTCTACACACACACACATACACACCGTTTGGTGCAGATATGCACCTGTAGGCTTAGCTACTTGTGAGGATGAGGTGGTAGGATTGATTGAGCCCAGGAGGGTGAGGCTGCAGTGAGCTGTGATTTTACCACTGCACTCTAGCCTGGGCAATGGAGTGATACCTTTTCTCTTAAAAAAAAAAGAAAGAAAAAAAAAAACAACAACAAAACAAAACAAAACAAAAATGCTGGGCATAGTGGCTTATGCCTGTAATCCCAGCACTTTGGGAGGCCAAGGCGGGTGGATCACCTGAGGTCGAGAGTTTGAGGCCAGCCTGACCAACATGGAGAAATGCCATCTCTACTAAAGATACAAAATTAGCCAGGTATGGTGACGCATGCCTGTAATCTCAGCTACTTGGGAGGCTGAGGCAGGAAAATCGCTTGATCCCAGGAGCTGGAGGTTGCAACGAGCCAAGATCACGCCATTGCACTCCAGCCTGGCCAACAAGAGAGAAACTCCATCTCAAAAAAAAAAAAAAAAAAAAAAAAGGCAGCTGGGTGCAGTGGCTCACACCTGTAATCCCAGCACTTTGGGAGGCCAAGACGGGTGGATCATGAGGCCAAGAGATCAAGACCATCCTGGCCAACATTGTGAAACCTTGTCTCTACTAACAATACAAAAAAATAGCTGGGTATGGTGGCATGCGCCTATAGTCCCAGCTACTTTGGAAGCTGAGGCAGGAAAATCACTTGAACCCGAGAGGCAGAGGTTGCAGTGAGCCAAGATTGTGCTACTGCACTCCAGCCTGGCGACAGAGCAAGACTCCTTTCCCCCACCCCCAAAAAAGTCCAGAACTGGTATGTATGATGCTTATACAGTGTTATTAGATATCCAGGCTCCAGGATCTTTCTTTTTTGCTACACCTTCTTTAGTATGTGACTTCATCCACAGGGTTGTCTTAGGGTCCAAAGCTGGCTGCTGGAGCTCCAGCTTGCAGACTCACATTTCTGGCAGAAATTTGGAAGAGGAGAATGATTATGCATAAAAAAAGGACACATGCTGGCTGTCTTAAACCCTCTTGTGTAACCTTCCTGGAATCTGGCAACTTCTGTTTATATCTCATTAGCCAACCTCTGGATGCAAGAAGGCTAGACAATGAAGTATTTTAAGCCGGGCGCGGTGGCTCAAACCTGTAATCCCAGCACTTTGGGAGGCTGAGGCGGGTGGATCACGAGGTCAAGAGATCGAGACCATCCTGGTCAACATGGTGAAACCCCGTCTCTACTAAAAATACAAAAAATTAGCTGGGCATGGTGGCACGTGCCTGTAATCCCAGCTACTCAGGAGGCTGAGGCAGGAGAATTGCCTGAACCCAGGAGGCGGAGGTTGCGGTGAGCCGAGATCGCGCCGAGCCGAGATCGCGCCATTGCACTCCGGCCTGGGTAACAAGAGTGAAACTCCGTCTCAAAATAAATAAATAAATAAATAAATAAATAAATAAATAAATAAATAAAGTATTTTAGTTGAACCATTGTCACCCAGTCTAAATCAAGATTTAAGTACTAAAGAACAGATATGCTGATATTGTGTAGGTAACTATCAGTCTTGGTCACACTGACCTGGTCATTAGGTAGAGATGAGAATTGGGGGATTATCAATCTATATGCAATCTGAATGAACAACTCTGACTTTAAAAAAAGAATAGTCTGGTTTTTTTAGAGTATCTTTAGATTTATAGAAAAATTGAGCAGAAAAAATGAGCAGATATTTTAGAGTTTTTATATACCCCTGGTCCCCCACTTGGTCATGGTATATAATTAATTATTTTTGCACATTGTTAGTTGGATTTGCTAATATTTTGTTGAGGATACATTGTTGCCATTATTACTTTGAGCAAATAGTTATTGGATCTATTAAGAATGAAAAACATGAAAAAATTTATTTTACCTTCATTTATAACATTTCCTGATGCTCCTTTTTATGTTGATACAAGTTTCTGACTCATGTCATTTTCCTTCTCTCTTAGAGAAGGAAACTTATAGCATTTCTTGTAAGGCACATCTCCTTGCCAGAAACTCCTCTAATTTTTGTTTGTTCTAAAAAGAGTTTATTTCTCTTCACTTTTGAAGGGCAATTTTAGTAGGTACAGAATTCTAAGTTGGTGGGTTTTTCTTTCACAGCTTTGAATATTTTTCTCTATTCTCTTCTTCCTTCATGGTTTCTGAAGAGAAGTCCAGTGTATTTCTAATACTTGTTCCTCTATAGGTAAAGTGTTTTTTCCTCTGGCTTTTTTTAAGATTTTCTTTTTTGTAGTTTGAAAATGATATGCCTAGATAAAGTTTTTTGTTTGTTTGTTTTTGTACTTAGTCTACTTGGTATTCTCTGAGATTTCTGGATCTGTGGTTTGGTGTCTGTAATTAATTTTGGAAAATTCTCAGCTATTATTACTTAAAATATTTCTTGCTTTTTTTTCCTTTTTTTTTTTTTGAGATGGAATCTTGCTCTGTTGCCAAGGCTGGAGTGCAGTGGCGTGATCTTGGCTCACTACAACCTCCACCTCCCGGATTCAGGTGATTCTCCTGCCTGAGCCTCCCTGAGTAGCTGGGATTACAGGCGCCCACCACAATTCGCCGCTAATTTTTGTATTTTTAGGAGAGACGGGGTTTCACCATGTTGGCCAGGCTGGTTTCGTACTGCTGACCTCAGGTGATCCACCTGCCTTGGCCTCCCAAAGTTCTGGGATTACAGGCGTGAGCCACCACGCCTGGCCTACTTCAAATATTTCTTCTGCTCTTTTCTTTCTTATCTTTCTGTTATGCCTAGTTACACCTTTTGTAGTTGTTCCACAAGTCTTGGATATTCTGTTATGATTTTTTTTTCCTTTGCATTTCAGTTTGGGGCATTTCTATTCACATATAACCACATTCACTGATTTTTTTTTTCCTTAGCAATGTCTAGTCAGCTGATAAGCCCATCAAGTGAATTATTCATTTTTGTTTGTGTTTTTGATATCTAGCATTTCCTTTTGTTTCTTTCTTAGAGTTTCCATCTCTGCTAACATTACCTATCTGTTCTTGCATGTTACCTACTTTTTTCGTAAGAGTCTTTAACATAATCATAGTTACTTTAAATTTCCTTTCTGATAATTCTAAAATCTATGTTGTATCCTAGTCCAGTTCTTATGCTAGCTTTGGCTATTTGGACTGTATTTTTTCTTGCCTTATAGCATTCTTCATAGCTTTTTAATTTGAAAGCTAGACATTATGTATAGGTTAATAGGAATTGGGGTAACTAGTATTTTTAGTGTGAAGTTTTATGTTAATCTGGTTAGAAGATGGGTTGTGTTTCTTGTTTGTTATAGTTTTAAGTGCCAGAGGCTTCAGTTTCCTTTTCCTCCCCCCACCTCCCCTGTTATCTTTGGATTTGTCCAAGAACTTCTCTAATAGAGTGGTTTGTAGCCCTCTCAGTTGTAATTCATTGCTATTATGTTGAAACTCTGTTGATGTGGTGGCACATTGTTGGGAGGGGAGTATTCTATAACCTGTGATTAAGTCTCAGTAAATAGGTTTGGGTCCTTGGGCTGTGACTTTCAGAAGTGTTTCATAATCTTTTTTTCTCCTATCCTTATGGAAGCGAGACAGGTTGGAGTTGTCTAAATTCCCTTCCCTGAGATCAGATAAGGATCTGGTAAGGTAGTTTACCTTAAAGGCCAACCCTTTGATAGGAAGTACACTGTGCCCATATTTCAAAATGGTTACTTTTCTTCTCTCCCTGCCTGAAATATGAGGGTATTTTTCTTCCATCTTCACTGTGAGAACTTGGTGAGGCTCCTGGATTTAAAACTTACGTTAAGTGTGGGAACCCTTAACAGTGGGCCCCCTGGAGTTTTTAACTTCCATCTAGTCCACTTAACTTCCATTCTGCCTATAGCAATTTGTCAAAATTACCATTAAACTGTATCTACCAGTTACTGGCACCACTGGCTTCTGCTGTCTTTAAGCTGATCGCAGCTGTGATCCTCTGTATTTTCCTGTCTCCCTCAATTTTAGGATGGCAGTTTTTGCCTTCTGACCTCAGTTCTATGATGGATCTGAGAAATGTTGTTTATTTCCATTTGATCAACATTTTTCTTGTAAGGACAGGAGGGATTACTTCAAAGCTGGAAACTGGACACTATTTTCACAGTAGAAATAAACAATTTTATACCATTTGTAAACTTGTCTCATTATTTCTATAGAATAAATCACTAGAAGTGGAATTTATAGTCAAAGACTATGGATTTTTTTAAGGTTTTTAAATTTATGTTCCTAAATTGCTCTAAGAATGTTCAATTTGCCTCTGCTAGCAGTTGAGCAGAATTATATTTGGAATGTTATAGATATGGGAAAGTTTTAAAAACCACCAAACTAATAAGCTTCTTTTTTTTTTTTTTTTTTTTTTTGAGTCAGGGTCTCACTCTTTAGCCCAGGTGAGAGTGCAGTGGCACGATCACAGCTCACTGCAGACTTGACCTCTTAGGTTCAAGCTATCCTCCCACTTCAGCCTCCCCAAATAGCTGAGACCACAGGTATTTGCTGCCATGCCCAGCTAATTTTCTTTCTTTCTTTTTTTTTTTTTTTGTATATTTTGTAGAGATGGAATTTTGCCATGTTGCCCAGACTGGTCTTGAACAGCTAGACTCAGACCATCTTCCTGCCTCAGCCTCTCAAAGTGCTGACATTTACAGACATGAGCGACTGAGCCCGGCCCCCCAATTTTTATATGTGTATATTCTATATTACTTTCTGAAAGAGAATATTTCCATTTAACCTAAATTAAACTGACTTTAATTTTGCATGTAATGCTAATGGATTGATTCTTGATTTGCAGTTTTCAGAAGCGAATTGCCGATTGCCGGCTTTGGCCTGTAGAGATCACAAGAGTTCCTCTGATTACTGTATCCAAAGGGAAAGCTGGCAAAACTGAAAAGGTAAATATGGCCCCTCAGAAATATTTATATAAGAAATGTAGAATCAGACCCAACCTGTTATTCTGCTTCAATTCTGATACCAAAGAGAAAATGTGAACTAATATAGCTGTTTTCCTTAAGGTGACTGGCTCATCCTGATTTGCCCTGAACTTCATTTGTTTTAGCACTGAAAGTCTCATTCCCAGGAAACTCCTCTGTCCTGGGAAAACCAAGATTATTGGCCACCCTAGTTCCCCATTGTTCACTAAAAACTCTCTAGCTCTCTAGGCTTTATTACCAGATACCCTATTTCTCTTTTGCCCTTCACAATAGTTTTACCAAAGGTTAAACTTACCTACTTAAAATGTTTAAGCCTGCTAATTAGTGTAATAGGGATCTTAGATATACTACTATTTTGAAAAGGTACAGCTTTGATGAGCCTAGTACATATTATCTATTGTTTTACCTGTGCGTGTCTGGTCTTTTCTGCTTGTTCATAAACTCCTGGAGGGTAGAAGTCATGTCATAGACTGATTTGTATTATCCACGATACCTAGCATGATGTATGGCAAATAGCAGATACTTAATAAGTATCTGAATTGTTTGGCTGACTTTAAACATAGGCTTTTTGCATAATAAAAATGCTACTACTGTATACTCATTTCTCCATTTGTAGTATATTATAAGTATTGGCTAACTTTCCTTAGATTGCTAACCTATATGTTATCACATGAACATATGACTTTTAAATCTAGTTGCTAATTATTATTATAATAGGTGAAATCAAAGAGATTACTTTTATGCTTGGAATTAAATGTGTTTTCTTTCACAAAACTAATTTTTTCCCTATAAAAATTTTCCACGGCAAACAATACAACCATTAAAAATGCTGTTAATATATTTATTAACGCATTTTTCATCTTTGCAATGAGAATTTAGATGAGATCAAATATGGTAAATACAGGACAGGAGACTTATTCATCTGCCTTCATCCATAGTAGATAGTGCTAATCAATCAAGGCACTCTATGCCTTTGAACCCTGATAAATACAAAGAATTTTTCTCAACCAACCATACTAAAACACCTCCACCAATTAATGACAATTGAGACATAAGTTAAAGCCTATTTGTCATCACTGGTCCAGATAATTTGTAAGGCCCCTTTTATTTGTATGAGTCTGTGAACTAAAGCTAAAAGCCATAGCTTTTGATTTTTTATAAGTTTTTTGTTATTGTTATTATTGTTGCTTTTTATAAAGCTTTACTTTCTCCTAAGAAGCCACATGGTGAAATTGACTTTTTGTTTGATATATATTATCAATTAATTTGTGTATTATTTAATTAATTTGATATTTTCTGAGGTTCTTTTTAACTTGATACAAGTGTCTGCTTGTGTCAACTACTGCTTTTACTGTTAACACTGTTTGTATGCATTATCTCAGTGATCATCATATTATCAAACCCATTTTGAAGATAAAGAAGGCCCAAAATGTCTTATGGTACTGGCCCAAAGTCACATAACTGGCTAAGTGGCAGAGTTAGTTTCTAAAACTAGGCCTTTGAAGTGCTAAGTCAGAGCTCCATACCTTATACTATATTGCTTATAGCACTAATAACTCTCTGTTTTTATTCCTTTAGACTGATGAAGAAGGTCAGCTTTCGTTTCATGGTGTGGCTTATGTTAATATGGTCCCATTATTGTATCCAGGTGTGAAGAGAATTCGGGGAGCTTTTCACGTTTACCCTTACCTAGACAATGTAGTCCATGAAAAGGTAAGAAAAAATTGCATAAAAAGCATCCTGGTAATTTATATATTTGTTTTCTTGCATCTTTAGCATATATGTCGTTGCAATTGATATTTAGAACCGGTTGGTATACTAGGATATTAAATATATAGCTTTTTTTTTTTTGGAGACGGAGTTTTGCTCTTGTTACCCAGGCTGGAGTGCAATGGCGCGATCTCGGCTCACCGCACCCTCCGCCTCCTGGGTTCAAGCAGTTCTTCTGCCTCAGCCTCCTGAGTAGCTGGGACTATAGGCGTGCGCCACTGTGCCAGATAATTTTTGTATTTTTAGTAAAGATGGGGTTTCACCATGTTGACCAAGATGGTCTCGATCTCTTGACCTCGTGATCCACCTGCCTCGGCCTCCCATAGAGCTGGGATTATAGGCATGAGCCATGGCGCCCGACCGTATATGGCTTTATAGTCATTCTGCATTGGACCTTAAAAAATTTAGGACAATGAAAAGGCAAAAACTGAAAACAACCTAAATATCTATCAACAGGTGAACAGAGAACACAGAAAACAAATTGTTTGGTTCCTCTGTACAATGGAATACTATTCAGCAATAAAAAGGAATGAACTAATGATACATGCAACAGCATGGATGAATCTCAAATGCATTGTGCTAAAAGAAAGAAGGCAGACAAAAGAGAAAAGAGAGTATTTTTTTTTGTTTTAAAGAGATATGGGTCTCACTTTCGAGTGCAGTGGCACAATCTTAGCTCACTACTGCCTCAAATTCCTGTGCTCAAGGGATCCTCCTACCTCAGCCTTTTGAGTAGCTGGGACTACACCACTGTGCTTGGCTATTTAAAAAAATGTATTTTTATAGAGACAGGGTCTTGGAAAGTACATTCTATGTAATTACATTTATATGCAATTCTGATAAAGTAATTTATCTATATTGATAAAAAGCAGATTAATGGTTACCTGGGAACAGCGATAAAAGGAGGGATGGATTCCAAAGGAATGAGAGGAAAATATTAGGGATGATGGAAATGATGGTTATCTTGATTGTGGTGATGGCTTCATAGGTATACACATGTCAAAATTGATGAAATTGTATACTTTAAATACGTTTGGTTTATTTTTATTGTATTTTAATTTTACCTCAATAAATTTGAATACAAAACTTTTAGCATAAGTGTTGTGGCTGGGTTTGATTTCTCACACCTGTAATCCCAGCACTGTGGGTGGTAGAAGTAGGCAGATTGCCTGAGGCTAAGGGTTTGAGACTAGCCTGGCCAACATGACAAAACCCCATCTCTACTAAAAATACAAAAATTTGCAGAGCCTGGTGCCTGTAGGCAGAGGTTGCAGTGAGCCAAAATTGTACCTCTGTACACCACCCTGGGTGACAGAGCAAGACTCTCTCAAAAAGTATATATAAGAAAAAGAAAACAAAGTCTGTTGTGTTAAGTATGGAAAAACTGAAATCCATGTGGTAATTAATGAACTAAATTTTTTTTCCCCATTTTTAGGTGTTAAAATGTTAAAATCATATATATGTATTCAAGCAAAAAGGCAGTTTTATCATGTTGCTTCCCAGGAGAAAGTGAGGCTTTGTAAAACACACAACAATAACAAAAATGTGCTATTATGTCACTGTTATTAGGACAACTATTTTTCAACAATAAATTCATGAAAACCCCATCATTCTAGCTGTAGATGAATAGTAAACTGTTTCTACAACAGTATCTTTTGAACTAGAAGCCACATTTATAGGAATTCATTTACTTATTTACTTATTTAATTTTATTTTTTTTGAGATGGAGTTTCACTCTTGTTGCCCAAGCTGGAGTACAAGCATGATCTTGGCTCACTGCAACCTCCACCTCCTGGGTTCAAGTGATTCTCCTGCCTCGGCCTCCTGAGTAGCTGGGATTATAGGCATGCACCACCACACTCAGCTAATTTATTGTATTTTTAGTAGAAACAGGGTTTTACCGCGTTAGCCAGGCTGATTGTGAACTCCTGGCCTCAGGTGATCTGCCTGCCCGTCTCAGCCTCCCCAAGTGCTAGGATTACAGGTGTTGAGCCATTGTGCCCAGTCGGGAATTTGTTTTAAGGACATAATTTAATAAGTTCAAAAATCTCATATTCATGAAACTTTTTGAAACCTATAATAGCAAAAACTAAAATAAGGTTAAATGTTTACTAATAGAGGAAGGCTTAGTACATCATAGTAAATAAAAATGATGAAATGTATAGCCATTAAAAAGGATAATTATTAATGCTTTATAGGCCTGGTGTCATGGCTCATGCATGTAATCCCAGCACTTTGGGAGGCTGAGGCAGGTGGATTACAAGGTCAAGAGATCGAGACCATCCTGGCCAACATGGTGAAACCCAGTCTGTATTGAAAATACAAAAATTAGCTGAATGTGATGGCGCGCACCTGTAGTCCCAGCTATTCAGGAGGCTGAGGGAGGAGAATCGCTTGAACCAGGAGGTGGAGGTTGCAGTGAATGGAGATGGCAACTCTGCACTTCAGCCTGGTGACAGAACGAGACTCCATCTCAAAAAAAGAGAAAAGGATTATTAATGCTTTATAGATAGTTAAATAGGAAAGAAGGCTGGACATGGCGGCTCACACCTGTAATACCAGCACTTCAGGAGACTGAAGTGGGAGGATCAGTTGAGCCAGGAATTCAAGACAAGCCAGGGCAACATGGTGGGACCCCATCTCTACAAAATTGTTTTGTAAATTAGCAGAGTATGGTGGCACATGCCTATAGTCTTAGCAACTCCAGATGCTGAGGTAGGAGGATTGATTGAGCCCAGAAGGTCAAGGCTGCAGCAAGCTGTGAACATGCCTGAGTGACAGAGTGACACCCTGTCTCAAAAAAAATTAAAAATAAAAAAAAAATGACAGAGAAGAATGCAAAAGTGTTACATATAACATAGATCAAAATAAATTTCAAATGAATTTATTAAAATAAGTTAAATGTGGCCAGGTGCGGTGGCTCACACCTGTAATCCTAACACTGTGGGAGGCTGAAGCAGGCAGATCACAAGGTCAGGAGATCAAGACCATCCTGGCCAACATGGTGAAACCTCGTCTCTTACTAAAAATACAAAAATTAGCTGGGTGTGGTGGCACATGCCTGTAATCCCAGCTACTTGGGAGGCTGAGGCAGGAGAATGGCTTGAACCAGGGAGTTGGGAGGTTGCAGTGAACTGAGATCGTGCCACTGCACTCTAGCCTGGAGATAGAGTGAGACTCTGTCTCAACAACAAAAAAAAAAAAAAAAAAAAAAAGAAAGAAAGAAAAAGAAAAGTTAAATGTGAAGACTATAAAAATGAGTATTAATTAAAGATACAAATTAAGAGAAAATTTTCTAGGCTTGAAAGCAATGAAAAGTATAAAAGAAAGTATTTTGTTTACCAAAAACGTGAAGTTTCTATATATAAAATAATCTTCATATACAAAATTGCAATGTAACTGAAGACCTAGGGAAAATATTTGAATACACATCAGAAAGATAGCTACTATTTCTGAAATATAGTAATTTCCTGAAAGATAGCTACTATCCCTGAAATACAGTAGTTTTTTTCAATCTAGAAGACTAACAAATTTTATGCAAAGCACATGAAATAGTAGTTCACAAAAGAAGTGCCAGTGGCCAATAGATCTAAGAAGAGACATCTGGCCTTACTTATTAATCAAGGAATTACAAATTTAAATAACAATAGTTATCATTTTACTTAAAAATCTTGAAAATTCTTTAAAATATGATAATGTCCATTGGTGGCAAAGGTATGATAATGTTATAGAACCAAACCGATGTCTGCTCACCTGATGCAGTAAAACCATGTATCTGCACCAGGATTTGCCGTGATAGAAATAAAGGTTTTCCTTGCAGGATGCCAAGCAAGGAGGACCAGGCAGCTAAATTTTCAAATCCTGACTTCCCTGTGGCTTGCAGGCAATGATTTTTTAAAGGCAGAGGTAACTTTCAGGAAAGCAGAAGCTACAGGCAAAATCATAAATCAATACATGCAAGTTACACATTGGTTTAAGCTTAAAAGGGCAGGATATGTTGAAGCAGGGGTGGGGGTTGCAAGTGGTAGGTAGATTCAAAGATTTTCTGATTTGCAATTGTTTTTTTTTTTTTTTTTTTTTTTTTGAGACGGAGTTTCGCCCTTGTTACCCAGGCTGGAGTGCAATGGCGCGATCTCGGCTCACCGCAACCTCTGCCTCCTGGGTTCAGGCAATTCTCCTGCCTCAGCCTCCTGAGTAGCTGGGATTACAGGCACGTGCCACCATGCCCAGCTAATTTTTTGCACTTTTAGTAGAGACGGGGTTTCACCATGTTGACCAGGATGGTCTCGATCTCTCGACCTCGTGATCCACCCGCCTCGGCCTCCCAAAGTGCTGGGATTACAGGCTTGAGCCACTGCGCCCGGCGTGATTTGCAATTGTTAAGGAAGAGAGGCTTTGTTTAAAAATTTGGGGTCAGTAGAAAAATGTTAACTGGCTAGAGGGAGTGACTTTCTCCAAGCACCCCAGGAAAAAATTTAGAACAAAGGACCATATAGTTCAGTCTTCCCTTTCGCCTTATCTGGGGTCTGATCCATTCAGCTGATCTGAGTGCAGTGCTGACTAATCCTGTCAGTGGTTCCTCAGTGGGGTCTGAGACTCAGAAAGACAACTCAGGGACATATATTAAGATGTTATATTTAGTTTCTATAAAGCAAACAGCTCTTGAACTTTAACTTCCTTGGCTATTGTTTTTGGCTACTATTACCTTCTTGTTTAAGTTACTTATTTATTTCTGGTGCTAGCTAGGTGCCTAGAATTTCTTTTGAAGGAACTTCAGAATTTTTCATTATTTCCATGCCTCGGGGGCACAGGCCTCTAAAAAGAGGATTCTTGCTCCATCTCTGTAAAACAACTTTCATTCACTGCTAGTAAAAGCATAAATTGGTAAAAACTTTTTGCAAAAATATTTATTGTCCATATGTATTCAGAAGCTTGAAATACTT